CACACACACACACACACACACACACACACTTGTGCTTACACAAGCCCACATTGGTTTGGGGGAGGTGAGAGAATGGAGCTGTGCCAATAACAACCTATTTACCTAATGTATTTAATTATTGTTTCAGATTTATTACTACCATAATGTGAAATGCAGACGTGAGATGTTTGACAAGGATATCATGATGCTTCAGGTAATGCATTAAAAGCCTTCAATTTAAAGGTTATGGTGAATCTTTAGCTCACTATCATTGCTGAGCCCAGTTGCTCTGCTGACTCCCAAATATAGAACTCCACCCTAGCCCTGCCTACTAAAGCTCTAGCTCAGGCCAGCAACCCAGGAAATGTCCACCTAGATCTTCCAGACACATTTCACATTCAGCCTGTTCAAAATAATTCCTCTTACTCTTCCATACTATATTGAAGTTCCCTGAATTTGGTATGGTCTCTCTTACTCTCTACACATTTCTTTCTTTTCATTCCTAGTCCATTCCCCTCTTTGTTTCCATTCACCTAGCTTATTTCCAGTATGTTTAGACTTTAATTTTGTAACACTTTCTCCAGCAATTCTTCTCTGACACACTAGAACTTAGCTGAGCATCCCTTTTGTGAGGACCCATGACATGGTGCTCTAACCTCCCTGCCACAGGCCCCACACTCTGGCTTGTGAGTGACTGTTTCCCTCTTATCCCCCTCACACTGTGACAACTGCATCACATATTTTCTTTAATTTCTTTCTTTCCTCCCTTTTCTCTAGCATAGTGCTTGTGACACGGTAGTTGTTCCATGTTATTGCTGAAGGGATTTAGTAATTATAAAAAAATTTCAAGAAATCTAATTTTCCCACCTGCCTCGCAAGCGCAAGGTCCTGAGTTTGATACCCAGTACCAAAAAAAAAAAAAGAAATCTAATTTTCAGAAAAAATACTGGTTCAAAATAAATTAAAATCCAGATTGATTTAGTTTTCACAAGCGGAATTAAGTTAAGTTGAAACTAATTTTTAAAAGTTGTCACTTTAAAAGCTGTCACTAGTATTTACCTCAAAAAAAAGAGACCTCAGTCGTAACTTAATATGCTGTGTGCTTTAAAAATACTACATAGTATTCCTCTTACAGTGAACCTGATACAAAACTTGGGAGCCAAATTGATAGGAATACAGTTATTTCAAAGCATTAAAAGGAAAAGAGAGTCTGAGAAGCATTGAATGGAAAACTCATGTTGCTCTTGTGTGAGTTTAGGCTTCAGAGGGCTTGTTTATTTGTCTGCTTGTGTTTCACCAGCTTGCATCCCTGTCCCAGCTTGTCAACTCCCATGCTAGGGACCAGGGCTAAATGAGATTCCATCTTGTATTTCCATTGGTAAAAATGTAGCTACTTTCTTTTGCAAACCAAAATCTCTCTCTTTTTTTTTGGTACTGAGGATCAAACTTGGGACCTTGCAAAATGTCTCTCGCTAATTATTTAATGTCCCTTTTGATCTTTCTCTTTTCCTTTATCTCAAAAAAACAAACAAAAAAAGACAGGTGTCTCCATGATGGATCCAAATCATTTCCTGATGATAATGCTCAGCCGCTTTGAACTTTATCAGATTTTCAGTACACCAGATTATGGGAAAAGATTCAGTTCCGAGATCACCCATAAGGTAAGAGGCATGTTTTGTGAGATCACAGCACATCACTAAAGAAGCATCTTTCATTCTTTCTGGATGTATTACTCATCTGAGAGAATACAGTATACATATTCTTCTGTCTGATCCCACTTGTAGGATGTTATTCAGCAGAACAATACTCTAATAGAAGAAATGCTATACCTCATTATAATGCTTGTTGGTAAGTTTCGATTGTTTAATATATTTATAAATTATGTTGGATTTTGTGATAGCATGTAGTTCAGAATGTCTGACCTATGTTTCTTTCATTGGGAGACGATAAGTATCAATTTTAGGGGAAAGGAATTGAAACATTTTCTTTTTCCGCCCTCTGGACACTGATGTTGGGACCCCCTTATCTGTACCTTATCGCTTCCTGCCCTCTGGTCCTTCCTCTAAAGTAGCACCCACAGTACTCCCTGCCAAAAGCCAGCACTTAGCTCTGCATCTGAGACCCAGAAGTGTTCAGGAGCTGCTCTCTGCTGGTTTGTTCCCAACCAGTCATTGCTTTCCCACTTCAGAGATAGAAACAGGAATTCATCATACTGCATGAGTTACAAGTGTGTATCACCTGAGGACTGTGATTACGTTAATGTGGATGTACACCTTCTCATTTTCACAGGTGAAAGATTTATTCCTGGGGTTGGACAGGTGAATGCTACAGAAGAAATTAAGCGGGAGATTATCCATCAATTGAGCATCAAGCCTATGGCTCACAGTGAATTGGTGAAGTCTTTACCTGAAGATGTAAGTTCTTACATGGTATCGGTTGGTTGTGGCAGGGTCTTACTATGTAGTTTAGGCTGGCCCTGACCTTACTGTGTAGCTCAGGGTGGCCTCATTCATGGTGATCTTCCTATCTTGGCCTCGAGAGTCCTAGGATTATAGGCTTGTGCAGCTGTTAGTACCTACTTTTTTTTTTTTCCTTTCGAACTCAGGACCTTGCGCTTCCAAGGCAGGCACCAGAACCACTGAGCTAAATCCCTGGCCCCCAAGTACCTACTTTTTTTGTTTTTAAAGAATACCTACATTAGGGCCAGGGATTTAGCTCAGTGGTTCTGCCGCCTGCTTCACAAGCAGAAGGTCCCGAGTTCGATCCCCGGTACCAAAAAAAAAAAGAATACCTGCATTTTAAAAAGAAAATTGTAATGAGCTTTCCCTACCTATCAGTCTGGTATTATAGATTTACTTATGTATACATTTCCCACAATTGTAAAATCCACAATTCTAAGATGCAGCAACTCTACTATAGAAGAGCTTAGGGCTTTATGAACAGCCTGTATACCATTATCATACTTCAAAAACAATAATAATTTCTTGATCTTGTTTTTTTTTGGTACTGAAGATCGAACTCGGGACCTTGCGCTTGCGAGGCAGGTAGCGGAACCACTGAGCTAAATCCCCAGCCCTATAATAATTTCTTAATCATAGATCTTGTCAGGATAGAAATTACTTGTACTTTTTAATGCAGGAAATGAATCCTGAATTGTTACATGGGGGCCTATAGTTTAACCTGAACTTAAAGAAAGAATGACTGTAAACAATAAGTTTTTAAAAAGTTGTATGCCTCACACAAAATGATGCCAACTGTATCTCCCCAAACATTTTGACCAGAGAATCCTTTATTTGTAGAATTTCTATTAACCTCTTGGAAGTACTGTTTTATTGAAAATAGATAAGCATTTAGACCAGCTGGGGATTTTAGCTCAGTGGTTCTACTGCCTGCCTCACAAGCGCAAGGTCCCGAGTTCAATCCCGGTTACCAAAAAAAAAGAACACCTCAAGATGAGCATTTAGAATGGCTATTTTATAAAATACTGTAAATATTTTACATAAATTCTATATAATATTGTAAATATTTTACATAAATTCTATATAAATGTCTTATATACTTTGTGTTATTTAGTTCTTTAAAAAGCTGTTATCTGGGCCAGGGATTTAGCTTAGTGGTTTCGCTGCCTGCTGTACAAGCACAAGGACCAGAGTTTGATCCCCGGTACCAAAAAAAAAAAAAAAAAAGAAGAAGAAGAAAAAAAAGCTCTTATCTTACATTTGGTAGTAGTGACTTTTTTTTTTTTGGTACCGGGGATTGAACTCCGGTCCTTGCGCTTGCACAGCAGGCTGCAAAACCACTGAGCTAAATCCCCGGCCCCAGAAAGCAACAGTGTTTTTGTTTTTTGGGAGTTTTTTGGTACTGGGGATCGAACTTGGGTCCTTGCGCTTGAAAGGCAGGCAACAGAACCACTGGGCTAAATCCCCAGCCCTGTGACTTTTTTTTAAATTCCATTTGAATGAATGAATGTCTGCTTGCTAGGTAAGTCTGGCTAATTTTGTAATCTTGCTCTGTTTGCTGTGGAACCCTGGTGGGGTCATAATGTATCCAGAGTTGCTGTGAGTGTTATTGAGACGAAGGACAGTGCTCTGAGTGTAGCAGCTGTCAGTACTAACACAGTACCCACATGTTTCCTGTCACTTTAGGAGAACAAGGAGACTGGCATGGAGAATGTCATTGAAACAGTTGCCCATTTCAAGTAAGTTTTCTTCCTGTTACTTCACATTTTGTAGTTTATTTGGTTTGGTTTGGGGGGGGGGCTTTTGTTTATGTTTGGGTATATGTTTATTCATTTGTTTGTTTTGTTAGTGATACTGGGCATTGAACCTAGGGAGCACTGAGCTACATCTCAAGCTCTTTTTTATTTTGAGACAAGCTCTTACTAAATTGCCCAGGCAGGCCTCAAACTTGCAACATTTTCATGTTGCTGGGATTACAGGTGTGTGCCACTGTGCCTAGCTTGTGATGGTGGTGGTGGTATTGTTATTGTTGTTGTTGTCTTTAATCATTTTTCTTTGATGGAACTGAGAATGAAATTGTTGCTTTCAGAGTGACAAACATTTTTAAGTTAGCATTCTGTGTTAAATTTTTCCCTGACATTTTACTTTCATGACCTAGCCCTGCACTTAGAGACGTAAAGAAGTACTGTGAGGGTTTTCCTAGCATGCAGAATAGGTATTCATTGTTTCACATAATAGGAGTTACTCAGTGATGTGAGTAAATGCGTTATGGTTTCTAAACATTGCTTTCTTTGTTTTTGCTTGAATGTGCCACTTAGGTTGTGACCTGGCCTGGTGCTTCCTTCTCCTCCGTCCATTGTGATCCCAATCAATAAGCTAGTTTCTCCCCTAAAAGCTGTCCAAGCATTTTCTTAATCATGATTTTCATTCCTCCCCCCATGCTTTTACAGAAAATACAGAAAGGTAGGAAGAAAAGGGTATCACCATAATCTAACCACTCAGGTGACTTATACTGCATTTTAGATATACAGTATTTGTCCTAAACTTTTTCCTATACTTGGAGCATTTCTATCTGTACATGTGAGTGGCTAGGAAAATAAAAACAGGTCCATTCTATATTACTGTTCTTTAACATTTTTTAAATTTAAACTTTAATAGGGATATTTCTGTATGTTTGATTTTTTTGTTTGTTTTTGTTTTGTTTTACTTAGTATGCCTTGTCAGTACACATGGGCCTGTTTCATCCTTTCTACTTCTTGATGGTCTGTCCTGTGATATATTTAACCTCTTCCCTGTGCACTCTTTTTCACTCTTCTTCCTCCCACCCAGTTCTGGGGCTTGAACCCAGGGCTTTAGTACATGCTGCTGCCACTTGGCTACACCCCCAGTCCTGTATACTTTTTAAATTTTTAAGCATCATTTGGTTAGAAAATGTTACTTTAATGTGCTTTACTCTACCAGAGAGGTTGAGCATGTTTTCATGTGAGTTTTGACCATTTGTAATTAGTCATACTTTTGTGTATGTTTCTTTGCCGTTGTCACCATCTTAATGTTCCATAAGCACTTTTTACATACTAGAGATACTCACTCTTACTATATTAAATGCATTGCAAGTACTTCTTATCACTTAATTTTTATCTTTGTAATGTCATCTCACACAAAGGTTTTAAAATAATTTTTCTGCCTTGCCTGGCTTCTGGGTGTTATAACCCCACTTAGGAGGGTTTCTTAAAGCCCAACATTGTGTCTGTTCTTTTCTACTTAATAGAACTTAGCACAACCATCTTCACATGTCAAAGTATACATTAGCCACATACCACTCCAATTACTTAAATACAGGATGACCAAAAATTGCATAATTTTATAAGATAACAGGAAATATAAACATGACAATTTTATCAGATTTATTCAGTAGATGAATCGACTGGTTGAAATGACATCAGCCTGACCGATGCTCGGAGTAGTCAGTACATAAACACACACACTGCCCGAGTGACACTCAGGGTAAACTGTGAAGTGGTTAACATCACTTTTAATGCTGTTCAATTAATTGCTTGGAGCTGTTGAAATTTATGTAACCTGTTTCCAGTTAAACTGAAATTGCTACAGCTATATGTTCATCACATTCACATGTCTAGTTAGTATGAAGTCAAAGTGACCATGCTAGATAAAATGTATGCACATGAAGACCTGGATTTAGAGAGCCAGATTAACCCACAGGAAGCTGCTTCAGCTCAACACCAGCGGCGTGTGAGAACTCCGTTTCCTGTTCTAACATCTAAGACTCTCACAAATTAGTACATAACTATTTTTTGTTGTCATTGTCCTTTTTCTTTTGTTGTTGTTTAATTATAACTTTAGCAGTAATGGGCTAAGGGAAAAAAAGTAATGAGCTAAGGGCCTTTTTTTTAAAATAGGAAACCTGGATTAACAGGACGAGGCATGTACGAACTGAAACCAGAATGTGCCAAAGAGTTCAACTTGTATTTCTATCACTTCTCAAGGGCAGAGCAGTCCAAGGTAAATGGGAAAATTAAAAGTATAGTGGGAAAGGATTGGGTATTGTTTTTTCCCTGAAAAACTTTCACTGCTTTTCAGACTGACAAAGGATTTCCTACATTTTTGTTGTAGAAAATTTGGAAAATATAAAACAGTATAAATACAGAAGAAAGTACAAGTTACTGCCTAACATTTTGAGGTTTCCCACCTACTGTTGTGCATAGCTGTGTATGATCTGTATAACTGTATGTGCCTGTACATGCATTACTGTAATTTGTTGGCTTTTGAAGAGAAATTTTCAATCTGTATTTTAATCATTTAGCCCACTTTATTTTTGTTGTTGGTTTGTACATGTCTCCCTTGCATTTTAAAGCAACAGAGAACTCATTTGGGCTGTCTTTTAGTGGGAACAGAATTTAACCTCAGTGTGTATTGAGGTGGAGGGGACTGCCCCAACACTAAAGATAAAAATTTCCTAAAACCTGAAGATAGTGTAAGACGGCTGTCCTTACCAAAGGCTCCGAGGAGCTGACTATAGTGAAGCACACCCAGGGATCCCAGCGGTGCCTCCAGAATGTAAGGCCAAGGGCCTTACCAGATGCTCCAAGGAGCTGACTGTAGTGGAGCACACCCAGGGATCCCAGCGGTGCCTCCAGAATGTAAGGCCAAGGGCCTTACCAGATGCTCCAAGGAGCTGAAGTGGAGCACACCCAGGGATATCCCAGCACCAAGGGCCTTACCAAATGCTCCAAGGAACTGACTGCAGCGCAGAACACCCGGGAAGGAAGAACACCCGGGAAGGAACACACCGGACAAGTTGGAAAGTGAAACAGACCTTAGTCTGGCCAGAAGGAACTCCCAAAGCAAAGTAGCTTAGAGAGGTGATCAGCCCAGAGTCCAAGGCTCTTTTTATAGGGGGTTGCAGGGAAGTTAACAGGCAAAATTTACAGAAGAGGGAACAAAGGTTAGTGGTCTTACATTTGCATGTTAATTAGCCTGACATGTACTGATAGTCAGCAGATGCTTTGTAGATTGTTCTATAGATAGTGGTGTCGGGAACAAAGAGTTGGATAATTATGGCTGATACGGATCTTATCTAGTGTCCTGGAACTAAGAAGCATCTTTATCTATTTACTCACATTCAATTACAGTTGGGGCTAGGGGAGTTTTATGATTACAGAGTTATGCAGTCCTACAATAGGACAGCAGAGATTGACTTATGTTGCTACTTGGGGATATTAAATTGTTTCATAGTATAATTCCTGTCCAAATTGTTTTCTTTTTTTATTAGGCAGAAGAAGCTCAAAGGAAATTGAGAAGACAAAATAGAGAAGATACAGGTATTTTCATATTTTTTCCAAAAATTTCATGTCAGTCTCTTTTACTTGATAAACATTGTTTTCTATTAACTGATACTTTTTGTTACCTTGGGTGGGATAAAAGATTTAAATCTAAAAAGGAATTATATGTTAATAAAAGGCAGCCTATACTGAGTCACCTTGGAGTTAATGGTTTTATCTCAGAGCTTGAGATATGTCTGGGAAAGAGAAAGGTTTTCCTTTGTTGTGTTCTTGTTTATAGCTGCTTTTGTAGATTTAACTGACCTTGAGAAGGTGGTATGTAGCTTTAAGGTGTGCAGTAATGAATATTCGTTGAAGGAAGACCATTAAAAGTATATAATAAAGAGATAGTTTTTTAAACATATTCTTTAAAAGAAACCATAATGACTATTTTCAGCACTTCCACCTCCGGTTTTGCCTCCTTTCTGCCCTCTGTTTGCAAGTCTGGTTAACATTTTGCAGTCAGACGTCATGTTGTGCATCATGGGAACAATACTGCAGTGGGCTGTAGAACATAACGGATATGCCTGGTCAGAGTCTATGCTGCAAAGGGTAGGTTTGATGACATTTGTTATTCATATTTTCAAAAAACCAAAAAACTCTTGGCAATATCTATGGACCAAAAAATTAGGATAAAAATATTGCATATTACCTAATTTGTAATATAATATTATTGCTATTCCTTTTGTTTCTAACAATGGAAATGCGTGCCTGGCAGATAATTTTGAGACCCCATGGTTGTATTCACCTCAGTCCGTTGGCTGGTCTGTCTCCAACACCGGCTCTGGCCTTTGTATTTGCACTACTATGCTGTTGGTGTCATGTGTTAGTTTTGACATGTCTCATTTAATTCTCTCAAAACACTTGCCTTCATCAGTATCCATATTGTACAGTTGAAGAAATTGAAAGTTGGAGATTTATTTTCCTATGCAACTAAAAAGTGGCAGATCTAGAACTTTGTTTGAATGTTGTTTTATAGTTTTAATGTAAATCATTCTTACATTATCTCATTGAATTCACACACACTCTGTGAATGCTTTTTTCACTGGATAAATGAGGACAGGTTTCAGTAAGGTTCATGGAACTTCCCATGTTATTCAACTAGTAAGTGACCGTTACTCAGTACAGTGCCTGCTGTGTGCCTTACTCCATGCTAGACCCTTTACACACAGTGTTTGTAACCCTCAAAAAACTCTAGAGGGAAGTTGTTTTCTAGGTTACAGATTCTGATAAGCCGGGCGTGGTGGCTATAAAGACAGCACGTAGGAAGCTGAGGAGGCAGGAGGATCACAAGTTGAAGCCCAGCCTGGGCAGTTTTGCAACTTAGCAAGACCCTGTCTCAAAATTTAAAAAATAAAAAAAGGCTGTGGATATAGCTCCATACAGTGGCCGTAGGTTTAAACCCCAGTGCCACCCCCAAAAAAGGACATCATCTCAGAGAGGTTCCCTGAGAATATACAGCTGGGACTAGTACAGCCAAGGACACTGCTGTTCTTTCCCGACTCAGCAGGCTAAGGCTGTGTATGCCTCCATGCCCTCCCATTAAAGCATGTATTTGAAATGTAAAAGCAGGGAGCTGTGGGATCCAGAGACTTCTGCCAAGATCGTGTGAGCAAAGGATGTGTGGAAATGGATGGAGCAAGGAGGCGTGCACAGTGCTTACCTTATGCTCACATTTGTGCCCTGCAGGGTCACCTGGCTCTTCCAAGTCTCTGACCACCAGTTTCCCTGTGTGCAGGGACGGAGCAGATATACCACACACCTGTCCCTTCGAAAACTGGGAGCAGAATAAGAGCAATAAAAGTACAAATAGGGGGCCAGGAATTTAGCTCAGTGGTTCTGCCGCCTGCCTCGCAAGCGCATGGTCCCGAGTCTGATCCCTGGTACCGAAAAAAAAGTACAAATAGGCTCAGTGTAGTTGTATGTTTTCTTAGAAGTCTGGTAAGGAACTTTTTTGTGAGATATACTGAAGAACTACAAACATTTTAATGAACTATGGCATTAGAGATGAAAGTATGTCTTTTTCAGATTATTAAGATTTAGTCTTTAAAAGGTGGCATTGAATTAGGTAGCATCAGACTGGATAATCATGGTAGGTGCCTTAAGCTTTGTATTTATTTGGCCAGAGATTGTTAGATTTTTTTTCAAGACCGTAGTGGAGGTGTACAACAAAACTGAAAGTGATGTATGAATTGCTTGGTCACACCTGCAGGTAATTGTAGCCTACCCTAAGAATTTGCACTTCAGGTTTCTTCTGTGCTGAAACAGAAAATTTTGTTCTCTTTGCCAAGAATTCTTTATTAGAAAATGAACCTCAGTCTTTGAATTTAATAAAAATTAATACTTAGAATTGTTTTTATTACTTTTAGTGTTTAATAGGTTGATTTTATTTTTTTCCAGTACTAATTAATTCTTTATTATTTCTTATAAAAATACTTGTTTTTTTTTTACTAAAAGTTACAAAACATATTTTATTTGAGGTATTACATTTAATTGGAATGGCACTACAAGAAGAAAAACAACATTTAGAGAATGCCATGGAAGAGCATGTAGTAACATTTACCTTCACTCAGAAGATTTCAAGTATGTATATACTTTTTACTAAACTAACTCGAGATATAAGTGATTTTAAATAATCACTTATAACCTCTTTTGTTTGATCATATAAGCTCTAAATTGGGTAACATTGAATCCAAATATTCGAGGCTACATGTATTTATCTGTGTAATGAAAGTACTATATTAGATCCTGTTATAAAAATACATAGGACCAGACAGGTATGGTGGTGCATACCTGTAATCCCAGCATTCTGGGAGGCAGAGGCAGAAAGATTGAAAGTTTGAACCCAGTCTGGGCAACTGAGCAAGTTAGCAAGACCCTGTCTCAAAATAAAGAGGTAGAAACATAGCTCCCCATGAAGGCCCTGAGCTTGATCCCCAACACACACTCACGGTAGGACCTATGCGTACTTAAGTTACTAAGTTTTATTTCATAAACAGCAAAAATTAGTTCTTATTTTGAAATTGGTATAGCACGTACATTTATCTCTAAGATAAACTTAACACAAACTATGCTATCAAAATTTCACTTTTAAATTGTTGCTATTATAAAAATGTAAGAGTCTGTAGTATTGAAAATAAGAAAAGTAACTTAGAAGATTGGCTTCTCATTTTATATAAACTGACTTTATTTTTTAAAAAGCCCAGGGAGGTATTTTTTCTAGCTTTTTATTTTTAAAAATTATAAACACATTAGACCAGTTGAAAGAGTTGTACAGTAAAAAAAAAAAAAGAGAGAGAGAGTTGTACAGTAAACATCCATATACTTAGCACTGGGTTTGGCAGTTAATATTTTTATTTGCTTTCATATTTGCACACTTTTTGGAACCATGTGTTGTAGGCATCGTAACATTTCGCCTCTTAATGAAAAGCCTTTCCTTGGGTTGGCGGTGTGGCTTGGTGGTAGCGCCCTTGCCTAGCATGTGCAAGGTCCTAGGTTCCATCCCCAGTCCTGTGGAAAAACAAAAAATTTTTCCTTTTTTTTCACAATAAGCAGTTGGTTCAGTAATCACCTTCAGTGGTGGCAACTTTGAATCTTCCTTGTTTGTGTTGATTTTTTAAGAAAACACTACTTCTGTATTCTTTATTGGCTATTTCATAGTCAGTTATAATGATTATTCCTCTAAACTCTCAGACTGGAGCACATCTGGTCAGTGGGAAGCTGCACCATCCGCTTCTGGGCTGCTGTCTTCTGGCCCCATTCGTGTTCCGACCACCTTGCTTTCTGGTGCAGAAGGAGCTCACAGTCAACCTCGCTTTCCCTGGCCAGACCTGCATCCAGCCACCTGCTGGGGTGCTTATAGATGATTTATGGTGCTGCAATAGGGTTTATGAATTTCTGGAAGAAGACTGTTTCTGTAACTTTCTTCTCTTTTCTTTCTCTTTTTTTTTTATTTTTGGTACTGGAGATCGAACTTGGGACCTTGCGCTTGCGAGGCAGGTGCTGGAACCACTGAGCTAACTCCCCAGCCCTGTTTTTGTATCTTTCTTCAGTGCCATTTCTTCCTATGACAAAGACTGAAAGTGCCATGTTCTGTCAGAAAACAGGGAGGAAGTTGTCCTGTCTGTCACTGGATCTCTAGTTTTCCCTTTTGCCTTTCCAAATAAAGGAGAGCAAGGGGGCCCCGGCTCTCTCCACTGGAGGCTGTCTCGGCAGGTGCAGCTTTCCCTGTGCTTTGCACCACTGCTGGTCTGAGCATGGACACTGGCCCTTCCACTGCCTGTCTCCGCGCTTTCACTGCGGGTAACCACACATACTCCCTGCCCTGTCCCCTCACCACTAGGAGAGGTCAGTTTCTCTCTCCTGTGTGTCTTAAACAGTCCTCATTTTCTCTGGCCGTTACTGTTACTTCTTTTGAAACATTTTATATAAATAAGATACAATATGTATTTATTTGCAAAGAAACCTCTCCATCTAGAGTCAGATCCTTAATGCACAGCCATAGAATTTTAGATCAGGAAGAATATTAAAGATGACATGGTTCAGTCCTTTCCCTCTTTAGAAAGAAGCACATTTGCCAGAATAGCAGCACTTAACTCAGGAAAATCAACAACTGGATATTTCTGGCCACAAACTCAATTAGCTAGTATTGGAATAAATGTACTCTTGACAATATGGACTTGACTTTTATATTTTTTCTTCAAATATAGAAGCAGTGAACTTATAAAAGGAAGAAATTTATCTTATTTTGAATCTAGCTTTTATTAAAGAAAAGTTCCCAAGTAAACAGACTTATGCATATTTGCATCTCCATAATCCTAGTTGATTTTCTTAGACTTGTAAAATCTCAGGTAGACCAGTTTTGGATTTTTTTTCTAGCTGAGTTTTTATTTAATATTGCTGGAGGCTATTTTAAAATAATCATTAGGTGTAAGAAGTCATTTTTTAATGCTTAAAGAATTCTAGTTGTTAAAACGTTTGTAAAGTTCGAACACATCATCTTTTCAAATAGTATTGAGACTTTCTAACAAGCGGAGCTGTACTTAAATGATGAGCACTGGTATTATGAGAAACTGGTGCCTAGGACTAAGCCCTGTGCCCCGCCCACTTTATTATTGTGTCTCTCACTCTTTCTGTCTTAGAGCCTGGGGAAGCACCGAACAACTCTCCAAGCATTCTAGCCATGTTGGAGACGCTACAGAACGCTCCCTACCTAGAGGTCCACAAAGACATGATTCGGTGGATATTAAAGGTGGCAGTTCATACATTCCTCTGCTTTTTGTGGCAAACATTAGATACTTGTTCTGTGCACATTGCAGTGTTTCATAATGTGAGGATAACTGATATTTTTTTTCTGGTAGACTTTTAATGCTATTAAGAAGATAAGAGAGAGTTCACCTACCAGTCCTGTGGCAGAAACAGAAGGAACCATAATGGAAGAGGTATAAGAAGTGTGCACTGAGTAATCCTAGCACTTCAGGAGGCTGAGGCCGAAGGATCTCAAGTTCAAACCCAGCCTAAGCAGTGTAGCAACTTAGTGAGACCCTGTCTCAAAATTTTAAAAAATTTAAAAGGCTGGGGGTATAGCTCAGTGCAGAAATCCTGGGTTCAAACCCCAGTACAGCAAAAAGAAGAAAAGTATAGTGTGGGGCCAGGCTTGTAGCTCATAGGTAGAGTACTTGCCTAGCATGCTCAAGGCCCTGGATTCAAGCCCAAGCTTTGCAAAAATAAAAATAAGAAAAAGTAAAGTATGCTAATACTGAAAAACTATAACAAGTTGATATTTGCAAACATTTAAATTCCAAGAAATATTCCACTATTTATTTGTTGTGGCAAGTTTTTGTTTTGGTTTTGGTACTTTATTTGTTGTTGTTTTTGTTTTTGGGGGGTTTTTTTAGTACTGGGGATTGAACTTGGGTCCTCACACTTGCTCAGCAGGCAGCAAAACTACTGAGCTAAGTCCCCGGCCCTTGATGTTGTTTTTGTTTGTTTGGTTGGTTGGTTGGTTGGTTGGTTTGGTCTGCTCTCTTTTTTTTGGTACTGGGGATCGAACTCGGGACCTTACGCTTGCGAGGCAGGCACCACCGGCACCACTGAGCTAAATACCTGGCCCGTGGTTTGCTGTTTTTTAAAAAGCACATTAGGTTGATAATCTTTTCTTGTTTGCTGGTCATGGTGGCACACACCTGTAATCGCACCACTTGGGAGGCTAAGGCAAGAGGACTGCCATGAGTTTGAGGCCAGCCTGGGCTACATAGTGAGTCTAAGGCCAGCCTGAACTACATTAGCAAGACCCTGTCTCAAAAAACAAACAAAAGGAATCTTCTGTTCAAGTAAGATTGTAGAATAGTTTTAATTGGTATTTATAATGAAAATGTTTTTGCTTTGGAGAAAAATGTGCATTTAGCTTCTAATGGTCTGATTGAATGAGTATTAATTTCAGAGTTCAAGAGACAAAGACAAAGCTGAGAGGAAGAGAAAAGCTGAAATTGCCAGGCTACGAAGAGAAAAGATCATGGCCCAGATGTCTGAGATGCAGCGGCACTTTATCGATGAGAACAAAGAGCTCTTTCAGCAGACACTAGAGCTGGATGGCTCTTCCTCAGCTGTTCTTGACAGCGGGTAAGGAAAATAGCCATAAGTTTTCATCTCTTGATCAGTGGTTGTCACCTAGGCATAATTTTTTTTCCTTGTATGTACATTTTTAATCCTAAAGTAAATTAGTAGAATTGATAAATTCTGTGGCCTCCTGGTAGAGGAGCTACACTTAGAAAGTTTTGACTGTAGGTAAGCTAGTTAATTCATATGTACACACCTACAATGTTATTTTTGACACCAGATTTGATAGTCACAAAGAGTTAAGGCTCAGCGTCAGGCATCCTTGGTGCATAGTAGATTGCTGGGAAGAGTTAAAGAGCGGTCATTAACACACATGAAAGACTTTTGTGATTCAAGCCATCAAAAACATGTTTTAAATATGTACATTCTGGAGTCTGAGGTTTGACACTTGTGCAGAGACTTCCTAGCCCCATTCATTCATTCCTGACCTTTCTGTCATAGCCCTGTGGTTTCAGGTACGACCTTTACAGCCCTGGGCCCAGCACAAACGCAGGTCTCTGAACACAGACAGTTTGTCACCTGTATATTATGTCAAGAGGAGCAAGAAGTTAAAGTGGAAAGTAAAGCCATGGTCTTGGCAGCATTTGTCCAGAGATCAACTGTACTATCAAAAAACAGAAGTAAATTCATCCAGGATCCAGGTAAGTCATAGCTGGATTCTCATCCTCCTCCTCATGACTGCCAGCTAGTGTGATTGGCGTTAATGAGATTTCATTAATCTAATAACAACTCCATAGGCTCGTCCATGGGAGTGACTTTGGCAGGAATCACACCACACAGCTATGTATTCATAGTAGGGATTCAAAGAAAAACTTTGCTTTGTCATGTGACATTCACATACTTTGGTACCTACCAGTCTTTCCTGTCTTCCAGCATACTTGTGAAGTCTTCAACATTTACTGACACCGAGTAACAGTAATTATGTAGTCTCATGGGTGGAGCCACGTAGCTCAGGAGCAGTGCTGCAGTGACCTATTGAAAAGTGAGTCTGGAGCCAGGTTCTGACATAGGATAGTAGCACCATCACAGATAGGTCCCCAGAATGCAGCCTTGACTCCAAGATCGCTGTGCTGGGCATTCTTAGGGGGAGCTTGGGGGCGAACATCTAGGGAAAGGAAGTAGGTTTGAGCTGTAGTGCAGTTCCCAAAGGCCTCCTGCAGCCCAGGGGGATCCTTGCACTGGGTACCCAACTCTGACAAGTGACGCTGCAGGTCACCCTGGAACAAGCTCTGACCTGAGTGCAACAGTTTTCCTTCCAAGAAAGATAAGCATTGGGGGCCTTTCCAGCAGCTGGGGGAGAGTTCAGTAGCTTCTTCCCATCTAAGGGTTTAGACTGTGCACCTTTACTCTTCAGCTCTCCTGTCTGCTGAAAACACGCATATCCCCCTGGACAATACCAGTAAGCTTCTTCAAGTAGAAACTGTATCTTAGAGCTTCCAGAGCACTTCGTTAGCCAGAGCCTCTCACCATGCAGGATGGAGAGAGCAATCCAGCAGGGTCGCCTTCCCTCTGTGAGGAAGGTCATCCCAGTGTGACTCTGGAGCATACTAGCTATGAAAGACTGGTCTGCTTCATCTTCAAAAATGGATCTTTGGAGCAGGGCGCTTGCCTATAATCCCAGCACTCAGGAGGCTTAGGCAGGAGGATGCTGCTAGTTCAAGGGCAGCCTGAAGTACATAGCGAGACCCTATCTCAAAAACCAAGCAGAAAAAGGTTCTTTGAACTAGGGGATTTATAAATTCAAGCCAAAGATACAATTTCCTGACTCTGTAATTTATGACTTCCTAAAGAAAAAGCTTTCACATTTTCTATCATAAAAATATTTTATTATGTAACATTTGCATTGTCCAACTATATAAAGCAAATTGAAACTTGAGCCATTCTTTCTAGAGTGCTGGCAACTTCTCTGTTTATACTAATTTATATAGAGAATTTGAAAAACTCCAAAAAAATACAGGCATCTATCCTGTTTGTCTTCATTTTTCATCACTAATGTATAAACATTAGTAGCAGAACACAACACTCTGAATTACTTTTTCCCCTGGCATGGGCTTAGATATTTCCTTGTCACTTTGCTTTTAAATAATCCAGGGTCTTCCACAAATTATTGATATCTTAAAGGAATAAACTAGCATTTAATTTTAAGTTTATAAGTCCTTTTCAAAGATTTCACAAATTTAAAGCTGTACATTTATTATGGGAAAATTAAATGCTTTTTTGTTTGTTTTGTTTTTTGTTTTTTAATGCAGAAAAATATGATCCATTGTTCATGCACCCTGATCTGTCTTGCGGGACACACACTGGTAGCTGTGGGCACATTATGCATGCCCATTGTTGGCAAAGGTAATTTATATTCTTAATATTAGCCAAGCGAAGCTTATCAAAGATTCAGAATAAGAATTTTAATGAAATTCCATTCTAGATAAAAGGAAAAAGAACTAAAAACATTGACAAAAAAACTTCATATTGTTGCCTAATAACAAAAGTGATTTTGCTTTGTCATGATGTAAAAAAAATATTAGAAACATCAGAGTGTATCAGACTTTTTTTTTTAAATGTAGCTTTATAACATAGTCTCTTCTTTATCCCTCCAAACAAGGAAGTGAATCTACATTAAGTAACAAACTGGAAGAAGAAAAAGGTTTTTCACATTGCAATAAATCCTTGAAAAGTAATGTTGCCTTTCTTTAGGCTCAAGGTGAACAGCTCTCAATTAGTCGCTGTTTGTCCATCCAAAAATTGTAATGACTCCGTGTGCCAAGACAGGATTACCTTGAACTTGTTCTACCTCAGTGCTTTCTATGCCTGTGCAAAGCCAACCAGCCAGTACTGTTACTTTAGCAATGTGCTCATTGAGCTGTCAGGAGCTGCCCCAGGCGAGTAGCCACAGCTCTGGGGAAGTGAACAGACAATAATAGCATGAAGAAATTTCTGTTACTGATTTCCACATGCTTATTTGCAAGTCAGTTTTATTTCCTCTTTGGTTATTAAAACAACTCAAAAGTCATAATGCCAAGTGTTAAAAATAATGCAGTTCAGTTTTGTAGTATTTGTGGAAACAAATGATTTATAATGCTGAAGCCTCTTGACTTTCACTGAAATAAATTACCATTGTTTTTGATACCACGTGTTCTCTAATTATAAAGGTATTTTGATTCCGTTCAAAATAAAGAGCAGAGAAGGCAACAAAGATTACGCTTACATATGAGCTATGATGTAGAGAATGGAGAGTTCCTCTGCCCGCTGTGTGAATGCTTGAGTAATACTGTTATTCCTCTGCTGCTTCCTCCAAGAAATATTTTTAGCAGGTAAATTTGGGCTCAAAACACCTTGTAACAAAGCACATTTGCTCTCAAATGATGAAATAATAAACCAGGAGGGAAACTTAGCCTGTGCAGTTGCATGTTTCCCAGATGCTATCCAGTCTTCTTCATTTGGTCATTTCTTCTAACAGCCCCATGCACTATGATTTTGGTTTCTATAGAGGAATAGCCCAATTTTAATAGTTTCTTATTCACTCATAAATGCTATAGAACATAAAATTCCTGCGTATTCACGAAAACTGTCTTCGTTTTTAGGGACCCTACTTTAAATATCTCCCTCATGCTTTGTAAAGATGCTGAGAAAACTGAGAAGTTGAGATGTAGCAGCCTAACAGTTGAATAGAGTTTTATGCCATTCATTGGCCAACAGCAGCTTTAGGAATCAGGGGAAAAAAAGGAAATCTGTTGATCTGTTTAAAATTCCTAGGCCAGGGCCAGGGATTTAGCTCAGTGCTTCCGCCGCCTGCCTCGAAAGCACAAGGACCCGAGTTTGATCCCCAGTACCAAAAAAAAAATTCCTAGGCTAGATGTGGTGGTGCACGCCTGTAATCCCAGCACTTGGGAGGCTAAGGCAGGAGGATAGCTTCGAATTTGAGGCCAGCCTGAGCTACAAAGTGAGTTCAAGGGCAGCCTGAACTATATAGCTAAACCTTGTCTCAAAAAGACAAAAACAACAATAATAATAATAATTTTAAAATAATAAAATTTCTGTTCATAATTTAGTATATTTTTAGTCAATAGTATTAAATATAGTCATTTCATGTATGAGTATGATGCTGTCTCCTCTTGAGATCTGAACTTTACTTTGAGGTTTAGAATCGTGCCCACCTTACCTGTACACATACACATTGAACATCTCTAACCTGAAATCTCAGATGGGCCTACATAGCGCCAAAACATTTCAGATCATATTGCTTTTGGATTTCAGGTTTTCAGATGGGATGCTCAGCTGATAAAGTCTGTCTGCAAATATTCCAAAATCAGAAAATCTCCGAAATCCAAAACACTCCTTTCTGATCTCAGGCATTTCCATACAGGATATTCAAGCTATGTCAATTTAAGTTTCATGAATATAAATCCTCTGTATCTGTCCAGTTACTTGAATTTAATTCAAAGCAAAATCACATTTTTCTCTTTAATTTTATGAGTTCAGACTTTGATGTCTTAGTCTCTTATGCTACCACACAGTAATAGTGAAATATTAATGGGTTTCACTGGTAACATGCTTTTTAAAACCATAAAAGGATATCATGGTGCTGACCTCCACCTGCATTTGAACAGATAAGAAATCACTTATTGTTAAATTAAGGATTAACTGAATATTAAGAAATCACCTTTGTTGAATGGGGAAAAAATAAGAACCAAGATACATCATGTAAAGGTACAAGGTCCCAATGATGAATGTAACTGTATTGTATACCTAAAATGTACCAATAAATAAACTTAATAAAGAAAAAAATGAAATCATCTTTGTTGAATTTCACCTGTCACTTCAGTGGTTCTATTTTGGGGTGTTTTTCCCACGAAAGTCATACTTGAAGGCAGTTATAAAAAGAACACAATCTTTATAGAACCTGATGAAGCGGAGTTTGCCCTGACAGAGCTCTGCCCCTTGTGCTTTTTTACTCAAGGTTCATCGCTCTCCATCTACCTCATTTTTCTCATCTATAAAATGCAAACGGTAAAGACAGCCTATCTCTAGAAATACTTTGAAGATTAAACCTAGTACTGTAATGTGGTTACAGTAAAGTGCTCATCTAAGAGCTTGTTGCATAAAAACCACTTCATAAACATGAATGATGGTGCTGATTGTTATGCTAAAAGAAATTTTAGCAAATTCTAGAATAAAAAATGATTTTTTTTTTCCTGTTACCAGGGATCAAACTCAGGACTTTGTGCTCGCCAGGCAGGCACGGCACCACTGAGTTACATCCCTGGCCCTGAAATTTTTAACAGTGTTATTAACATCATTTTGACAGTATATTTTCAGTTCCATTGACCAATATCTAGTCTTTTTTTTTTTAATGCAACACATTTTTCCTGGTCTTTTTAAAGTACTTGAAGTGTGTCTAAAGTATTCCATCTGTGATAATTAAACAAATCTTTTGTGTCTTAAACTAAGCAACAACAAGAGTATTAAATGTTCTCCATGATCTTTTCTAGCAGGTTAAATTTTTCAGACCAACCAAATCTGACCCAGTGGATTAGAATAATATCTCAGCAGATAAAAGCATTACAGAGTCTTAGGAAAGAAGAAAATGCTTCCAGTAAGTTCTGGTAACCTGTCTTCTTTTTTCCCTAAAATATTTCCAGAAATTGTTTCCAAGAAATTGTTTAAAAGTATTTAAAAGTGAAAGCTTTCATTTAAAAATTTGGTATGTCCTTTATATGAGCAACCCAAAATAAAAATAATTTAAAGAGCAAAATAAAAGATAAATAATGGGAAAATGTAAATAAGTAAAAAGTTGATACATTCTGATTTTCCTTGTTTTAATACATGGGATTTGACTTTATTCCATTGCTGTTCATCCCTGGAAAGCATATAGGCCCTGTGGAATTGGGCGGGATGACCTCTCACTCAGGCCCCCACTTTATGGAGGAGGCTCGGGGTTGGGAGGGGCCTGGTGACTGGGTATTGAAGGCTGGCTCTAGTCTTTGCTGGCTCACAGCACCCAGGGCTCCCCAGGTTTCATAGATAGCACTGCACTTGGGACCTTGAGGGAGAGCAGTGTGAGCAGATTTGTGTCATTAGTTTTCACAGAAACAAAACAGCCACGTCTTCTTTGTGGACTAGTGGCTGTTTATAAGGAAAAGAGAGAAAATGTTCCCGTCTCGCTCGCATCAGCAGAGCAGTAGTGATTTTTGTGCTTTATATGAGACTTTTTCCCTGTTCCTTAATTATTTTACTCACATAACTGAAACATATAGAAATATTGTAATTTGTTGAGTAATGGAATAAAGTACCTGTTTCTGTAGTTCCTGCCTCTTCAGAGAATTCAAAGAACATGGAAGAAGTAGAGCTCCCTCAAGGTTTCAGGCCTGATTTTCATCCTCAGTGAGTATATTATTTTATTGTCTCTCTGTTTTTATTTGTTTTGTTCTGTTCTGTTCTGTTCTGTTTTTCTTGTTTTATTTTGCTTTTTGAGACAGAGTTTTGCTTTGTAGCCCAGGCTGGCCTCAAACTCACAGTGATCCTCGTGCCTCAGCCTCCCAAGTGCTGGCATTACAGGCGTGCGCCACCACCCTGGGCTTGTACTTGGTTTTCTGTGCATATATCCCTGGTGGTTTTTTCCTGAATGGTGCAGCAGATCTGTCAGGTGCTGAGCAGTTGCCTTTGCAGGCACTCAGCCCTATCAGATGAGCCTGCATCCTGGAGTTCTGCCTCCCGCACAGCCTTGTCCCTGCACCAGTCAGGAGAGGCCACAGCTGTCCCCTGTAGACTCTGCTTGCCAGGCCCCTCTGGCTTTCTAGATCATGGCCTCTCTGCTTTCTTAACTTACCCTCTTTGCACAGCTCCACCCTTTGCACATCCCTGAGTAAGGACAGCTGGATGCTCAGTCTTCACGTCTGAAGTAAAGTTTATTGTGATTGATAATTTGGGTTAAGGCCTCTGGGTTAGAAGAAATTCTTTGTCTAGATTTTTATTCACTTCTGACATCCATTGAGAAATTTTGCCATTCTCATTCCTGTTCCTTGTAGCTTTATTACTTCTGGGAGCCGCTGGGATCATCTTTCCTTACTGTTCTGAAATTTCTCTGTGGTGTTCCTTGGCACATGAATTGTTTTCATTCATTTAGCTGAGTTCTCAGTAAATTCTTTGAACCTGAGAATTTGTGTCCCTCGGTTCTGAGTGTTTTTTTGTTTTGTTTTGTTTTTTGGGGTTTTTTTGTATCAGGGATTGAACTCAGGACCTTGCGCTTGCAAGGCAGGCAGCGGCCACTGAGCTACATCCTCGGCCCCTCTGAGTGTTTTTTTTTATGTGCTTTCATTTTCTGCTCTTGAGTTTTCTTTGGGTTAGTCTTGTTTGGTATCTTCCATTAGCCTTAGACCGGTCCTCTCGTTTTCTTACAGGTTGTCTCCATTTCCCCTGAGTTCTTTTCCCTCCTGCTCTGGTCTGTTACCTTGGATGCTCTCCTTACATGTCTGTTGGTCCTTGGGTGACTAAGAAGGCACTGGGCTGTTTGGTGCCTGGTGGGCAGGGTTAGCTTACTCACTTGGGAGCTGCACAGGAAGGTGATGAAGCTGCCACTTGTCCTTCTCTTGGGGACTCTAAAATGTCGATGTGTAGAGGACTTTCTGCTGAGGATCGCTCATTGGAAAGACCAGTCTCGGAGCCAGTGGGTGTGCATTGCCCACGGGAGGAGAGGGCCGAGGACCCCACTGTTAACTCTGCGTATGTTGCCTATTACCCTGGTTTCTCCCCTGTGCCTCACCCCTCTGACCCAAGAGCAAAACCCCCTTTAGGCCAGGGCAGTCACTCTCTGATTACCCCTTTGCTTACAGCTATCACCAGTAGAGCAAAGCGCTGTTCAGAACCTGCACCATTTTACTGATGTGTACATATTGCTTTGAGCTAATCCTGTATGTGTTCGTGTTAGGAACCCTTATTCTGAGAACATAAAGGAAATGTTGACAACATTTGGAACTGCTACCTACAAGGTGGGACTAAAAGTTCACCCCAACGAAGAGGATCCCCGTGTGCCCATAATGTGTTGGGGTAGCTGTGCGTACACCATCCAGAGCATAGGTAAGAGGTTTTTCAGCTATTTCTCTTTAAATCACAAGGATACATTGATGTGAATTGTGTGTAGAATCCTGCTTTTAAGTGAGATGCTTAAAGTGGACAACAATATGAAGAAATAAAAAGCCTTAAAAATCAAGAAATGTAGGGTGCTGACAGAATACTACCTTAACACTTTATAAACTAGTCACAGCAACAGAGAACCCATTTTCCTTGTGGCTATAGTCTCCTGACAATTGAAGGAATTTGTGTTTATTTTTACTTTCCATCCAAAGTCAATCCTTAGGGAATGATTCAAAAATTATAAAACTAGTTCTTCAGAAAGAATTGGTTTACTGCTGGGGATCTTCCCCAAAGAATTAAAAGAATCATACCACAGTGATATATGTGCACCCATGTTCATAGCAGCACAGTTTGTAATAGCTAAAACTTGGAAACAGCCCAAATGCCCATCAACTGGAGACTGGATAAAGAAAATGTGGTTTTTTTAATAAAATGGAGTACTACTCAGCCATAAAAAATGAGAAATTAGAGACATTTATAGCTAAGTGGATGTACATTGAGGCAATACTCTTAAGTGAAATAAATAGAACACAGAGGTGTAAATACCGAATAGTTTCTCTGGTGTGAGAAACTGAAAGTGTAAATAAGGACTAAATGTATAATAGGTCATGTGAAATAGGAAGAAAAGGGGGAAAGGGGAAGGAAGTGGGAGGGCTAAGGGAAAGGATAGAAGGGAATGGGATTAATATGAGAAAATGGAAAAATAGGAACAAAATTTTTGTAAATAGGGAGGGCTGGAGGGGTTGAAGGGAGGGCTGGGCAAGGGTGAAAAACAAGAGCCAAGAGAGACTATGTAAAGGTGCACATTTCCAATGATGAATGTCATTATATTGTATACCTAAAATGTACCAATTATTAGAATGAATAATCGATAATGTAAAATAGGAATAAAAGGTCCAAAGGGGTAGGGGTAGTGGGAGGCACAGGGGAAAGGAAAGAAGGGAAAGGAAAAAATGCTGAGAAATGGAAAAAATAGAAATAAAGTCTTTGTAAATAGGGAAGGGTGGAGGGCGTGAAGGGAGGGCTAGGAATGGGGAAAAAATAAGAACCAAGATGCATTATATAAAGGTACAATTCCCAGTGAGAAATGTAATTGTGTTGTATACCTACAATGTACCGATAAAAGAATTTAATACCAAAAAAAAAAAAAAGAAAGAAAGAATTGGTTATTTTAGTTTTTTTAAAATTCTGATGACATGTACATAAATTTTACCCTCTTCATTTCTAATCTGCAGAAAGAATTCTGAGTGATGAAGATAAACCGTTATTTGGTCCTTTGCCTTGTAGGCTGGTAAGTTCTCTGCTTACTCAATTCATGAAAAGCTGAAGTGGAAATCAAACTTTCAAAGCTGAAAAAAAATGGGTTTTTTTGAGTCAGGGTCTCGCTCTGTAATTCAGACTGGCCTTGAATTCACTATGTAGCCCAGGCTGGCCTCAAACTCAAGGCAATCCTCCTGCCTCAGCCTCCTGAGTGGTGAGATTACAGGTGTACACTACCACACCTGGCTCTGAAATTGATTTTTTTAACCTTGTGTTCACTCTTTTCAGAGGAAAACTAATTTTTATTAGGATTTAGAAGAAATAATATTTATGATTGTCTTTTCTTAATTTTTCTTTGAAGTAGATTTTTGGAAGTAACTATGCCTCTTCATCCAGAGCTATTGATTAAGCACTTGAAACGATGAGAAAAAAAATCTAAAAACAAGGGAGCTTATTCTTGAATTTCTAATGTTATCATGAGAAGTATAAAACAGAACCTGCGTGTTTGATCACCCTTGATAAAGAACATGTGAATAGGTGCAAGTTTGCGTCAGGCTGGGCGCACTGCGTGCCGGGAAGATGAGGAAGGGGTGTCTGACCAGGCTTGCTGCTTCTCACTGTGTGGCCAGTGTCTGACCAAGTCTTACTCACCCGCCGTCCAGGCTCACTCAACATGCATTTGCTTTCTTCTGAAACCCATCTGCTCTCTTGATTTCTGTGGCACTCCTGGCTTTCTTCCTCCTTCTCTGCCTGCTCCTTTTCACTGTGCTCTTCCTCCAGTAATTGTTACAGCATCTAACCCCAGGCTTCTGCCTGTCTCCCCTTCCTCTGCCCTCCCCCGTCTGTCCGGTCTGCGCCTCTGGTTTCAGGTAGAGCCAAGGGATTCCAGCTGTGTATATCCATCCTGCCTTTCATATTCAGTCAGGTCTCTCTTACTTACTGACCACTTGGGGTTTTTTCCATCGAGCTCTCCTAAAGGTGCCCTCAAGTCTAACAACCCAAATCAGCTTGTCTTCTTATATTCTGTGACTTAAAGTCACTACTGTCCATGCGGGTGACCAAACCAGAAAATTGAAGTGCTGTCAGATGTGTTATTTGGCCTAGGCATCTATTTGCATCCTTGCATCAATTGATCAGCAGTCTCTTAACTTCTTGCCATTCCTTCTCCTTGTTTGGCTTTTTCCCTGCATGTACATGGAAAAGAGAGATTTGGAATTGAACCCAGGACCTTTGCACTAACCTACATCCCCAGCCCTTTTCTTGTTTTTTATTTTGATACAGGACCTCACTGAATTTCCCAGGGTGGGTTTGAACTTGTGATCTTCCTGCCTCAGCCTCCCAGAGTGCTGGGGTTACAAACATGCACCACCACGCCTGGCTCCGTATCATTTCTTACCTAGACTATAGTAGGCAGTCTCTACCCTGAATCACACCTTTCCCTATATGTTATCAGAATGGTTCCTCCAAAAATCAACCTTGGTCGTATTCATGATTTTTTGATTTTTTTTTTTTTTCAGGGGGGTACCGGGGATCGAACTCGGGTCCTTGCACTTGCGCAGCAGGCGGCAAAACCACTGAGCTAAATCCCCGGCCCAGTTATGTTCATGCTTTTATAAACATCTTCACCTGTTTCTCCATTATCGACTTCTGCCAATCCCCACACCCATGGTCCAGTCACGTAGAGTCACAGGATCCTAAGTGCTAGTTCCCAGAACTTTGTGTGTTCTTGTTCCTCTGCCCAGAGTGCCTTCTGCTCTTTAGGATGCCCTTCAAGCTCTTCCTTCCCCGAAGATGCCTCTACCCCTCTTCCTCCTCCCACCCCAGCTTGGGAGCAGGAGGTGGGAGAATGAGTTATCATTTGAAGAGCTTCAAAACCAAGATCTAGATCTATAGTATTTATTTAATCAAACAGCATTACCGAAAGTGCGAAAGGCAGAGAATAAACAAGAACAAAAATCTCCTCAGCTCTTCACTCGTCCATCTTTTTGTTAACATATTTATACTCAATCATAATTTTCATCTATAATTGTTTCTTGCTGGATTCTACACTTTAAATCAAGCTTTCTCCTTAATGCTACTTACTCTTCCTAATAGTTTCTAATGGATACATACACCCTGATTTCTGGATCTGTCCTTTTTTACATACTTTATCCAATATTTGTTACAGTTCCCACATTTTGGAGTATCTCTAGAATAAATACAAAGAAATGCCACATCAGTGTCTTCGGGCATGTGTTGCTTGCTGATTGCTGATACCTGTACAGTGTTTAGTTCTTTCCAGAGAGAACCCAGCAGCATGGTAGCAAGGACATACCTGCTGTTCCCACCAAACTCTTGTTGGAGATGTCATGAGAGATGCTCTAGGTGCCATTCTGTCCCCTAGAGAGTCACAATTGTTTGCACAGCCATTGTCCTTAGAAGCACCATTCCTGAGAGAAGAGAACTACTGCTTCATTGGCTTCTTTGATAATTGTTGTTTCAGGATGACTGTCTTAGGTCACTGACAAGATTTGCAGCAGCACATTGGACGGTGGCATCACTTCTGGTGGTACAAAGACATTTTTGTAAACTTTTTGCATGTGAGTATTAATATGTGTACCATGTATGTAATAGTAATTTCTCACCTGAAATAGTTTTTAGCACTATAATTTCTCTTAGTTATGAATGAAATATTTGGTGGTACTGTTACAGAAGCTCTAGCTCATAAATTCATATATAGCTTGCAAAAAGATAAACTCGATTTTAGGCATTTTAACTTTACGAAAGGACTGAGAATTTAGCTCAGTGGTTCCACCACCTGCCTCACAAGCGCAAGGACCCGAGTTCAATCCCCGGTACCAAAAAAAAAAGTTTCAGATAACTTTACGTTGACACATAAGTTGTGCTAATGTATTTTTCTTTAAATCTTTAGCATTGGTGCCTAATGACAGCCATGATGATGTTCCATGCATACTGGATATTGACATGTTTCATTTGTTGGTGGGTATATTCTAGTTTAAGTTCTCTTTATTGTACTATGTAGCTTGAGTTTAGGTTTGAGTAGGGTAGAGAGATACCAGAATTGTCATATGATATAATTACCACCTCTGTATGGAATTCTGTCAGGAGTCTCAAGAAGAAAGTATTAAGGCACCTAGTTAAGAGAGGGACTTGATCTGGGTGTCTAGACATCCTCCCTCCCTTATTTTGCTTTGTGACTCACATCAGTAACTTAAAACTCTGCTTTTAACCTATGAAGAGGTAAAATTAATGCCAGCAGGGTTATGGTGGCTGCTGGCCCATACAGTGTTTTTTCTGCCTTTTCAAAAGTCCAGGCAGTTACACTAATCAGTGGCAGACAAGTCCTTTTGAGGATTTAGTGAGGGGGTATCTACTGCGCAGGTGTGCAGTGGCAGGCTAGCTGTGCCACTGGTGATGAATTTCAGCCCCACCTCCTCTGACTCCTCTTGCACAGGCTACAGAATGCACTGCCACAAAGGTCAGCCTCAAGCTCTGTCCCCTTCATCTCTGGACCCCAGCTTCTGTTCCTTTCAATTAGTTACTTCTTGCCTCATTCAGTTGTTTGACAGTGCAATGGGTTAATCTATGTGAAGAACTTAGAGCAATGTATTCCTAATAAATGTTAGCTGTCGTTGCTCCCATTGGTATGACCTCAACCACCCACCCCCGTACTAGTACCAAGAAGCTAGCAGAGACTCTTACTGTCCCCTGCTTGCTCTCACGCCCACCCACAGTTGTCCTTGTAGCCCTGCTACCAAAGTAGTCAGAACACCTGTGTATTTTCTCTGATTTACCAACAGGGAAACTGAGGCCTAGTGATGTTAATTTGTCTAGAAGCTCATAGAAAAAAGCTGGGGTTTATATCAAGATCTTTTTTCGTTGATAACAAAAACCCGTCCTTTTTCCATTGCTCACTCCCTGGAAAGATTTCAAGTGTTCTTATTACTAACAGTAAGCTATATGTGGAGGACCCCCTGGATAAATGAAGTGGTCCCATGCATTGAGACCCCAGATCTCTTGAGTCATTGGATTAAGCCAGTTCTGTAGATGTTCTGATGTGCGCACCCTAAGAACAAAGATGTCTTAAAGGGGCCCTGAGCTCCGAAGGGCTGCAGTGGGACAGTGGGACTGTGTTTCACCATCTGTCTGATGTCCCGTGTTGGTGTCTAGGTGAGCTTGGTGCTCGCTTTCCCCGCCCTGCAGTGTCAGGACTTTTCAGGGATCAGCCTTGGCACTGGAGACCTTCACATCTTCCACCTGGTCACCATGGCGCACATCGTGCAGATCCTCCTGACATCGTGCACAGGTAACTGCTGCCCTTCCCTCCGAGTCTTGAAGGAAGTCCTTGGATCTGCTCGGCCAAAAAGTATGAGCTAGGTTATGTGCATACACCAGCTCCCCACAAGGAATGTAATCAGGGTGTAGTGCAAACAGGTACTAATAAACCCTCAAAATAAATAAAGACAAGAAGAGGGGAAAAAATATTAGTCAGGCATAGTGATAGTCACCTATAATCCCAACTGAGGTGGGAGATTGTGAGACTGTCTCAGAGAGGAAGGGAAGGAGAGAAGAAAGATGTTAGGAAAAGGCATTTGAAAATAATATAATTAGGCTAACTTCTTTTTCTGTTAAATCTCATGAAAAAGTTTTGTAACAAATTTCTCCTGTTAAAATCCCCTAACAATGTCAGTGTTTTTACTGTTATTTCCTGAGTTCATTAATATTTGAATAGCACAGTAGTTAAAGCCTTTAGAATTGTGTTTGAATTTACACATCTGTTGATGTCCCCATGAGCGCATTGTTAAGATATATTTTGCATTCATACTTCTGCTTCTGACATTTTGAGACACTGTGAGCTGGTTCACTCATGATGCGCCTGCTGGCACTTTGGTCTGATGGGGATCAGCATGCACTCACACTTGCAGGATTAAAGTTCTGTGTAGCTTGTAGGGCTGTCTCGTGTCGTGCAGAACTGGTGTGGTCATTGACTCTTTCAACAACATAGGGAAATTATGGTGTACGGTGTTTCCTTGTCTTTCAGAAGAGAATGGCATGGATCAAGAAAACCTCACAGGTGAAGAAGAGTTAGCAACGCTTACTTTGTATAAAATACTTCATCAGTGTACAGGAAGGTGAGACCATAACCCTTCCGTGACTCGCTTTCCCTGGACATTAGTGAGGGGCAGCGTACAGAAGGAGTTCATTTGTTACTGAGGGGAAGCTGCTGCCTGTCAGCATGTTTAGAAAAAAAAGAGAATTGACCTGCAAGACCTTGATGTACTTGGCACAGTTGGAAACCTCTTAGGGAAAGGTAGTGACTGCCAGGCTTCCTGCCTGACTCTGGCGTGGACTAGGGGATAGATGTACTTTGGAAAGCTGCTTCCCTAAAACATAGGTTGCCTCATTAGGAATTCTAAAATGCCAGCTGAGTTGGTACAGTATATCTGTAAGATAATACCCAGGAGCAGTAGGAGTGAAATCACTAGAACGTCACATATTGTTGGAGTCGTGGGGCTTGAGTACGGCAGTTTCACTCAGGTTTTTGAGAGTGTATGTGAAGAACCTATTATATATGTTTGTTCTTTGACTAAATTATCCCATTTTTTAGAATATATGCTAAGGAAATAATGAACATATAGGAAAACCTATAGGCATATAAAGTTACACATTCTGATATTATTTATATTAGGCAAGAATTGCCTAATATAAATAGTTTGAAAAGAATTACAAATGATGTGTTCAAAAATAAACATGTGTTTAAAATTATGGCAGATAGTGTTCCAGGAAGCATGTTAATTTTAAATTTTACGTATTGCACTTACAACTAGGTAAGACAATTAGTATGAAAATAGTTTATCAGTATAATATCTGCTGGCGTGAGATGCTGGAATAGTTGATGGCTTTTCATTTGCTAGATTTTCTTTCTGTGGCTGTATCACTTCTGTAATAGCAGCACTGGAGCTGTGTCATTACTCACACCTGCCACCTGTGATCGTGTAGGCTCCCCCAACCTGTCAGCCCACACCTTCCACACCTCACCTCCACACAGCGGTCGTCTCTGTTTGCGCACTATCTTTAGAATGATCTTTTCCTACTGGTTTCCTAATAATTGTTTCCTGGCTTCCAGTGCCTTGAAAGAAATCCCCTCTGGCTGGCACCTGTGGAGGAGTGTCAGAGCTGGCATCATGCCTTTCCTGAAGTGCTCGGCTTTGTTTTTTCATTACCTAAATGGAGTTCCGGCCCCATCTGACATTCAAGGTACCTTCTCATCTTCTTTCAAAATGTAAAAACAAGGACCGGGGATTTAACTTAGTGGTTCCACCACCTGCCTTGCAAGCCCAAGGACCCGAGATTGATCCCCGGTACCAAAAAAAAAGAAAAAAAAAAAAAAATTTCCTGCCTCGCAAACGCAAGGACCCAAGTTCAATCCCCAGTACCAAAAAAAAAAATGTAAAAACATCCGTACGCTTTTCATTCCAGAAGTTTAGAATAAAGTTGACTTGCAGAAATGAAAACTAGGGCCAGGGATTTAGCTCAGTGGTTCCGCTACCTGCCTCGCAAGCACAAGGTCCCGAGTTCAATCTCCAGTACCAAAAAAAAAAGAGAAAAAGAAAACTAAAAGTTTAGAGCAGAGTTAATTGACTGTGGCATATTATGTCTGGCCCTGTGTTTTATTGAATCTCAGTAAATGTACTACTAAACTATTTTAATTTACAAAGCAAAACAATTGTTTTGTTATTGCCATTGCATTTGCAAAGCACTCCTCCCATAAAAATCTTTGGTTCGAGCTGGGGATTTAGCTCAGTGGTTCCGCCACCTGCCTCGAAAGCTCAAGGTCCCAAGTTCAATCCCCAGTACCAAAAAAAAAAAAAATCTTTGGTTTTGCTTTCAGATGTTAAGATGGTCAATTGTATTTTGTTCATAAACTGTGTTTCAGATTTTAAAGAGTGAAAACTGACCCTTGTGAGTAACTTTTAATTTGAAACATGACATTAAAGTGTAGAATACCAAAACGCACATAAATTCTATTTTAATGTGAGAATGAATTTTTTTGTTTCATTTATTCCCCATGCTCTCTTTTGACTGGTTTTATGAAAGCGGTGTACAGGCCACCTTAACTGTACCTCTGCTTTCCAACCGGGCCTGGCACTGATCCGAGGGCACCCCTGTGTAATGCTGCCCCCTAAACACTTGACCAGCCTCCCTGTGTTCATTGCCCAGACACCATAAAAGGTAGTTTAGGCTTCCAAAATACTTACAGAGATGCTCAAGAGTCATGTGAAAGTACATCTCTTATAAAGAAACCGTCTTCTACTTCTGTCCAGCTGTAAACTTCCCCAGAGCACCCACGCATTATTTTTGTCATTTCATGTTCACAATAACCTTGTGAAGCAGATTCTGCATCTGCCCCATTTTGCACATGGTCAAGCTCTGAGACATTAGAAGATTGTGCCCAGTTTGGGGTAGGAGTCACCTGGCTCCATTCTGTCAATTTCCTACAAGTTGCACACCTAGCAACTCTGAACCTTTTGTCATAGCTTTTTGTTTTATTTTAACTCTGCTGTTGCTTACACCCATACGGGATGTGCTTTTGGTTGTTACGTGCATTACTCTTTTCTTTTCCATTTGCAGTTTCAGGAGCAAGCCATTTTGAACATTTATGTAACTATCTTTCCCTACCAACCAACCTCATTTGCCTTTTTCAAGAAAATAGTGAGATAATGAATTCGCTGATTGAAAGGTAATGATCATGCACTTTCTACAGGATATTGAGTAACTATGTGAAACCAACTTTAGTTTTTCACATACATGGCAAAATTCTCAAATAATCTGTTAGAATTACAACTACAAGAATTAGGCTTTTTTGAATAATTGATAATTTGAAATAGGAAAAAAAGGTCCAAAGGGGGAGGGGAAATGGGAAGGGAAGGGGAAAGGAAAAATTATGAGAAAAGGCAAAAATGGAAACTAAGTTTTTGTAAATAGGGAGGGGTGGGGGGGGTGAAGGGAGCACAGGGAATGGGGAATTTTAAAATAAGAACCAAGATACATCATGTACAGGTACAAGCACCCAATGATAAATGTAAATGTATTGTATACCTAAAATGTACTAATAAAAGAATTTAAGCAAAAAAAAAAAAAAAAAGAGAATTAGGGTTTTTAGCTAAGGATTTGGCTTTTGGATAAGATTTTTGCCAAGCTAGTAAGCAGATTTGCATAAAGGGAGTAGTGGCAGAAATGTTGATTGAAGTTACTTGTTAAGGACTCTGTTCCATAGATTTTTAAGGCTGACAGATGATCTAGTCCAGTGTCCTCAATTTCTTTTTGAGAAATTGAAGTCTTGAGAAATTAAACTATCAATTGTGTCGAGCCAGTGACTGGATTAAAATGCATGGCTGTTCTGGCCGCAGAAGTGAGACAGTGTTTGCAAATCATCTGATACAGGAGACTCCTACAAATGAACAGCAAAAACGCAGAACAGCCCAATTAAAAAATGGGCAAAGAAGCCACCCATGATAGCACACGCCTATAATCTCAGCACTCGGGAGGGAGGCTGAGGCTGGAGGATTGCCTCGAGTTTGAGGCCAGCCTGGACTATGTAGTGAGTTCAGGACCATCCTGAACTACAAAGAGAGAACCTGCCTCAACAGAAAAAAAAAAAGGCAAAGAATTTAAGTAGGCATTTCTTCAAAGATAAACAGACGGCCAGAGAGAACAGGGACAGACGCTCAGTGTCACTGGCCGTGGTAGAAACATAGCTACTGCTTTATGCACAGCAGGCATAGCTATGGTTTGTTTTTTGGGGGAGGTGCTTTTCTGAAGTCTAGTAAAATATAATTTTTCCTTTTATTATTAATGTCAGGTAATTTTACAGAATATTGAGTTTGAGTGCTTATAATCTATTTGGATCATGTATGTCTCCCATTACCCTCCCTTACACCGCTTCCTCCCCTTCTTCCTTCCTCTTGTCTAATAATCTTTTTTAGATTCCACATATTAGGGAGAACATGCAGTTTTGTCTTTCTGAGTCTAGCTTATTTTATTCAACATGATGATCTCCAGATCTATCCATTTTCCTGCGAATACCAAAATTTCAATCTTTATGGCTGAATAATACTGTACTTTGTATGTACCACATTTTCTTTCTCCATTCATCTGCTGATGGGCACTTAGGCTGGTTCCATATCTTGGCTGTTGTCAGCTGTGCCTCATAAACATGGGTGTGTAGGTGTCCTATACTATGCCAACATTAGTTCCTTCCATATTTTGGCTTTTTGTTTTGGGGAGGGTGTTTTGTTTTGTTTTGTTTTGTTTTTAAGAAAAACAGTGTTGGCAAGGGTGTGGAGAAATTGGCGTCCCGATGCATTGCTGGTGAGAATAGAAAAGTACATGCCCTGTGGAAGCACAATATCAATTCCTCAGAAAGCTAAGCTTGGAATGATGTGTCACCCAGCAGTTCCACTGGTAGTGTACATTGCAAGAGAGTGAAAAGCCCTCTCAAATAAATACTAACCCAGCCATGTTTGTAGCAGCTTATCCACCATAGCCAGCAAGTGGAAACAGCCCGGGTGTTTGTCAGCAGATAGGTGGAGAACAAAATGTGGTGGGTGTACACACTGGAATATTGCTCACCCTTAACAAGGAGGAAAGCTCTGGCATAGCCCATAACACAGACGAAACTTGAGGACATTGTGCAAAGTGAAATAAGCCAGTCACAAGAAGACAGATACTGTATGGTCCCATTTTAATGAGGTACCTAAAGTAGTCACATCAGCGAGACAGAAGGTGATTGCTGTTTCCAGGAGCCCAGGGGGTGGCATGGGCTGTTTAATGAGTAGTGTTTCATTTGGGAAAGATGAAAACATTGTGCAGATGGATGGTGGTAGGTGTACAGCAGTGTGAATGTGCTGAGTGCCTCAGAGCTAGTACACTTAAAAATGGTACACCTTACATTTAGCCAGGCACAATGATGGCACACCTGTAATCCCAGCTATTTGGGAGGCTGAGGCGGGGGGATTGCAAGGCCAACCTGGTCAATCAAGACCTTGACTCAAGATAAATTATGGAAAGGGATGAGGATATAGGTTGGTAGTAGAGTGCTTGCCTAGCCTATATGCAAGCCCCTGAGTTCAGTCTTCAGTAGCAAGGGGGAAAAGAAAGTTTAGCTGGGGGCATAGCTTAGTGGCAGAGCACTTGCATATCACACACAAGGCCCTGAGTTCAGTCCTCAGAACCACCAAAAACAAGATGTCTTCTGGCTGTAGATAGTATAAACTTGTCATTGATTTATACTGATTTGTCCAATGCATTCAAATTAGCAGGACAATAAAGTATGTAGCTTCAAAGTTTACTGTTAAGCATTCTTGCTTTTCGAAAGTCGTCTTCCAATTTTAAAAAGTTGCAGGCAAAATATGGTATTTTTCCAGGCTTCTTTCAACGAGATAAATATATTAAGAAGGTTGTTTTCCTTTTTTCAGCTATAGAGAACAAACCATTCTAGTTCTAGCCCTTTAAAAATAACAGTGTTCTATTTTTTTTTCCTCTCTGTATTAAAGTTGGTGTCGTAACAATGAAGTTAAGCAATATCTAGAAGGAGAAAGAGATGCAGTAAGGTAAGTTAAAGGTGATCGAATTCTTGATTGGGGGCAGGTGTTAGGGTTGGAAGTGCTATTTGCTCAAAACTGATTTCCCAAGACTTCAGTGATTCCCAGAGGAAGGGAATCATGCCTTCATACTCCTTCTGAGACTAACAGTGAGAGTTTATAAAATCAGAACGGAGGGCATAACTAGGCTACAATACTCTTGGTGAAAGAGGAAACAGATTATTATATTTTGGAATACTTGCTTTAGAACAGGTAGGGCCTAGTCAGTTTCAGTGGCTCACACCTGTAATCTCAAACACTCAGAAGGCTGAAGCAGGAGAAACACAAATTTGAGGCCACTCTGGGGAACTCAGCAAGCCTCAGTCTCAAAAAAAAAATTAGCCTGGGTGTGGTGGCACACACCTGTAACCCCAGCACTTGGATGCTGAGGCAAGTAGATCGCCCAGGAGTTCAAGGCCAGCTACATAGTGAGGCTCTTCCTCAAAATAAAAGAAAGGAAAAAGAGCTTGGGGGTGTAACTCAGTGGTAGAACACTTGCCTAGCATGTGTGAGCCCCTGGTTTCAGTGCTCAGTCCCACACACACACAGTGTAGGACCTCTTCTAGTCTTCTTAGCTCTGGTTTTTTTTGTCTTTTATTAAGAAAATTTTCAAACTGTGCAAAAATATAAAGAATAAAGTATAGTGAGATTCCATGTGCTTGTCATTAACCTTTCGTAGCTATCAAATCATGGCCAGTCATTTTTTTATTTTTTTTTCCTTCCTTTTTACATTAGTTCTATTCTGATAGTACAGTAAAGTGTGCTCCTCTGGGGGATACCAGATGTGTTTCATCCATTAATACCTCCTTGGTTCTGCAAAAATACATCATCCCTAAAAATCCAAAGACTAGAGAATTGTCTGCTCTATTTGTTTGCTTTTACATATCCGGGATGATAGTATCCAATTTTATTAGGATGAACTATACAAAATTTCAATCTTCATAAGTCAAAAATGGTTGAATATCACCAGTATAATGTGGTTCCACGTAGTTCTCAACTTAAGGTATGCATCAGAATAACCTTGGGAATATTTAAGAATACTGAAGCCACTCTACCAGGTCTGATTTCTCAAAAGGTAACATCCTAGTGTGTATGCATCCCCAGAGCTCCCCCTGGGGTTCTAGTAGGGTGAAGAACTACTGCCTGAGTGCTCATCCCTCAGGGAAGCCCCGCCTTATCTTTGCAGTAGGTGAAGTAGTGAGAGGACACACCGAGGCCCCCATGGGGTCGGCACACACAGGTGGAAGTGACATCAGCCCTCGGACACTGATCGGGTTTGGATCTAAGTTTTTCTGAGTTAATTCAAGTCACAGAATCAACATGGCTTACTATCTCTAATTGAAAGAAAGTGCTGTTGCCTTCTGTTGTCTGATTCATGTCACCTTAAGACTACTCCTAATAAGCATACCCTTCCGTCCTCTCTGTCCTGGCTTCTGTGGCTGGCTTCACGCCATTCCTAGGTGTTTAGGTACAAGCCAAGAATGCATAGCTTCTTCTGCCCTCCCCCTCCTCCTTCTACCAAATTCTTGCCTAAATGGGGCAGATACTGAGTACCATGGCTGCTGTCCTGATCGTTTTGTCTGAGCTCTGTGAGTAAAAATGTGAACCCTAAGACTCTGTAGCATTGTGAATACATCTTTGATTTCTTACTCTTACACCACTAGCATAGCACATGCTCATAGAGATTCAGTCTTGTGTTTGTTTGGACTAAGCTAAGTTTTACCCTGTCATTATAAGATGACCTCATATTAACTGAGTCTTTATATTTTTACCTCTCTTCAAGCTATCCGCGAGAATCTAACAAATTAATAGACCTTCCAGAGGATTACAGCAGCCTCATTAATCAAGCATCCAATTTCTCGTAAGTTTTATGCTAGAAATACATTTCTACAGAGAAAGAGGCATTTGGTGGTGGTTCTTTGTTTGTTTGGGTAAGAAGATCTTGCCATCAGCAGTACTTGCTGTGACCCATCTGTAAAGCATCGCTCCCTGGCCACATGTCAAGAGTAAGATGCAGGGTAAGGGATATAGGGGGCAAGTCTGACTCACAAGAGTCTGCCTGAGTAATAGCAGCACTTTAAGGTAGCAAGCGCCCTTAGTAATTTATATAGGTTATCAAATATGTGTCATAGAGAAAGAAGAAATACAGTCAAGTAAGAACTAAGCATGACCTGAGCAGTTGAAGCCCCAGGCTTCTTGTCTCTGCTGCTGCCTGCTCTGTCCCCTGCAGTGGCCCCTGTCCTGAGGGCACATCCCCGTGTTACCCACACAGCCTCATGTTCCCAGGCACCATATATGACTGTCTTGCCGGCCCGTGACAGGCGCTGTGCTGTGCTGTGCTGTGCTTACGCCGCAGCCTCATCTCACTGCGCATCATTTCTAGACCCGTCTGTGTGGTGTTGCTTTTTACCACTGTGGTGTTTCTTTCAGTGACACAGGCATGATTGATGTATCTTTTTCTCCTACTAAAGGTTTATTTATGTTTTCTCCAGCTGTGACTCCCTGAGCGTTTCCAGTCTGGTTTTCTGTCTGTTCCCTGTTGTAGGGTAGCTGTAGGGTCCGTGTGTCTCTGGCTGTACATGACATGGCCACATTGTTTCCCAGGGTGGCTTCTCCACCGCCAGCTCTTCAGCTGCTCCTCAGTGTGGTGATTGCTTTTCGATTTGTGGTTCTATGTTTGCTTTTGGTCCTTTGAAGGTGCCCCAAATCAGGGGGTGATAAGAGCAGAGCCCCGACGCTGTGCCTTGTGTGCGGAACGCTGCTGTGCTCACAGAGCTACTGCTGCCAGACGGAGCTCGAAGGGGAGGATGTCGGTGCCTGCACTGCGCACACCTACTCCTGTGGCTCGGGTGCCGGCATCTTCCTGAGGTGAGGGCCCTCTGGGGGCAGAGAACTCTGCACCCCAGGTTCAAGCCCAGCCTGGGTAACTTAGCAATTTAGTGAGATTCCCTCAAAATTAAAAAAAGTTAAATAGTGGTTAAAATATCAGTACCTATTTAATTCTGTTATTTGTGCCCTCCATTCCATTCCAAGGCATGTCTCCATGGAATTGTAGTGTGATCATTACTAATGACAGTGTTGTCACCATAGTTCCTTGGAGAACCAGGCCAGATGGGCAGGCTGTTTAAGTGTCTCCGCTGTCAATGCTGTTGGCCTCCCCCTGGGTGGGGAGGTGGTTATAAGACCCCGCTGGGTGCCCCAGATCCTTGGTTACTGACATACATTGTATGATGATCTCTGCAGAGTACGCGAATGTCAGGTGCTATTTTTAGCCGGCAAAACCAAAGGCTGTTTTTATTCTCCTCCTTACCTTGACGACTATGGGGAGACCGACCAGGGACTCAGGTAAGGCCATCCTGTCGGCATGCAGGCTGGTTCCAGGGAGGCAGCTGTCTTCCCTGTGGTGCTGCCGTCTGCCTTGCAGTGCCATAGGAAGGAGGTGGGGCCACCTGACTCCGTGTAGCTCTGCACAGAGCAGCCTGAGGTGTCCCTCACATCCTGGCTCAGACCAGGACGGGCAGCCCATTCTCACACCAGTTACAGGGGAGCCCCAGGGCCCTCCAAGTGACAGAAAAGAACAAATCTCAGTTGCTAAGAGGTGTGTTTGTCTCATGATTACATAAAGACCTGGGGGATGAAGATTTTGAGCAGACAAAACAAGATGTAACAGCCTTTGCACATAGCGGCTTCTACCATTAGCTGGCCTACATCATAAGAGAAATGCTAGCAGTCAACAGGCAGGATTAAAGCTCTTCTGTTAGACCCTCCCTCTGCCCAAAGTGGGTGAAAGTTTTTCCCTACACCTAAAGCCTGAAGGCCAGGCAGGCTAAGCAGAGGAGCTGCTTCTGGCCCCTGGGTGCAAGTTGTGCCTTTAGGCCACCTGCTACCTGGTGACAGTGCTGTCACTCCACCCAGCTCTGAGGAGAGGGTCCTTCATCGCTGTGAGAGGACAGTGCCCTCCAAATGGGAACTCAGGGCTGGCTCGGCGTAATTAAACCCAGAGTGCTCACCTGGAGCCACGCTGAAACTTGGGGCTGAAGCCGTGGCTCCCTCTCGTCCTTCTCCTCGAACCCTCTCCTGTCCCCATACTGTGGGCGGAAGTGTGTTTGAGCCTGTCGCCCAGGCCCCTGCTTCTCTCAGGGAGGTGCCACCCAGGCGCTTTCTCCTCCCCATGTCCTTCCTGCTGCCAGCTGCTCTCGACTGCCGGGCAAAAACTGTAGAGGGCCTAAAAAGCCTCCAGGGCCCAGGAGAGTGAGCAGGACGAGCCTGAGTGACATGTGTCTTCCTTTCAGGCGGGGAAACCCTTTGCATTTGTGCAGAGACCGATTTAAGAAGATCCAGAAGCTCTGGCACCAGCACAGCATCACAGAGGAGATCGGGCACGCACAGGAGGCGAACCAGACGCTGGTTGGCATTGACTGGCAGCATCTATAATCGCTTCACCGCCAAAAATATGAACTTGGAGTTTTGTAACCTGGTTGGCTTTTAGAGGAAGAAAGTGGGTGGAAAGTAGTTTTGCTGAATTTTGAAATAAATTCTTTATTTAAATTTTCCTTCCCAGTTTTATTTTTGTAGTTTCGGGCTCCAGGGACTGATGAAAATCCTCTCCCACCGCAGATTTTCTCACACCGTTGCTGAGTCCCTCATATGTCACGAGTCAGGTCTGAGGATCCCCCCCCGGACCTGCCTCCCTGGGCTGTGACCCTGGGTCCCTGGAGCCCACAGGCTGGCACTGAGCCAGGGGAGGCAGGAGCAGTGTCTGCGATCCGCCAGGGCCACACTTCCTGGCTGCTCTCCATGACCTAGCCTGGGGACCAGGTGGGTGTCCCCTGCTGCCCAGAGTCCACCTCTGAGAACAGAGTTTCTGAGGCGGGGAGCGCCTGTGCGGGAAGAGCCTGGAGGCAGCCGTGCTTTCCTGGGGCACCCCCTGCCTTTGCACAGCACTAGAAGACTGAGTTCAGGGCTTTTGTGTTCTTCTATTTTGGGCAGGACTTTCGCCTTTGAGAGAACTCACTTAAAGGGCTTTCTGAAAACTTAAAGACTCTCCTATTTTTCAGGTAGTAATATTTCTCTGTTCTCCCCAAGGCTAGACTGAGAGTGTGTGCATCTAGGGTCAGGCACTAGCAAAAATGAGACAGTGAGAACTCAGCGCCGCAGGTACCACCCTGCCAGCATTTCCGGGAGCAGAGGAAGGGCTTTGTGCCTCGGGATCACTTAGGACATGGGGACAGGCTGTACCAGACTTCCTGACCTTGTTAACCGTTACTGTTCTTACTAAGAGGTGTCCTCCTAGGGTGATAGCCACTTGGTAAAAGAGCTTCGGACCCTGACATGTCGCACAGCCACTTCCACTGCATGTGTGTGGTCCAGGGCCTGAGTGCACACGCCAGGTGGCGGCAGGAATCCTGCGCCTCTCGGTGGGACTGAGTCAAATGCACAGCGGGAGGCTTGTGAGTGCTTTCACCAATGCAGGTGACCCTCTGGCTCAGCTTCCATCGAATCTCTCTTCCACCTTGTTCCGCTCAGCTCTGCCTGCTCCACCTCGTTTCCAGGAGCCAGTCGCGACTCTGCAAGATCACGTGTGACAAGCCCCCTCTTAAAAGGATGGCCTTAATTAAAGTAACCCTTTGCTTTGGACTGGCTCACAAAGCTAATAGGACATCCAACAGGAAGAAACCAGGTTAGAATCCACACTCATTCCCAAATTTTTCTGGCTTTTTAAAAATTTATACAATCCAATTGGGCTGTGGAAAGAGTGACTGATGTTTATTTTGGCCTTTGATAACACAGTTTCTTAGCTTTTGAGTTCAGCTTCTTTGGGCTTTTCTCCATACATTTACCATGCTTAAAATCATGAGACCAGGTTTCTCCCTCTAAGTGGGTTATAAGCATTGTCACCAAATCTAACTGCACCTGCCTTCGGGCCTGACCTCAGAGAGGCTTGTTAGTGGAAGGTGTCCCTGGATTCCACTCCCCAAGGAAGTCAGAGTCTGGGAGAAGATGAAATTGTAACACACACAGCCTTTGATTTCCTGATGTTAAGTTAGCTGACTTCCCTACCTAAGGAAGCATCTTAGTTTTGTGATTCGTTCCGCATGTTTTATGTTTATTGTAGAAATGTTTATATAACATGCTTTCCATATCAGGGAAAATCATATCTGTTTAATAAATTGGCTATAACTTTAATATCTGTGGACAACTTGGAAATTTGGAATGTATCATATGTAAAAAGGTGGAAGATACCCAAATAAATACTTTAGATGTTGACATTACTTTGGGTTGGCCTACATCTTCTTCCTGTTCTGTTCCACCCTTCAGGACCCAGCAGTGCTCCCCGTGTCACCTTGCTGCAAAAGTGGGACATCTGTATTAGCATGAAATTTAAGAGGCTTTTATTATTAGTGTCAGTTACGGCCACCACCCAAGCCCTCTTGACCCTCCCAGAGAAAGCTTAGTCATGATTTCAGCCGATTAAATTTCATGTTCATTGGGCCGGGAATTTAGCTCAGTGGTTCTGCCGCCTGCCTTGCAAGCACAAGGTCCCGAGTTCGATCCCCGGTACCAAAAAAAAAAAGAATCCTCTTAGAAGGAAACCCTCTTAACTGAGACAGCAGGGTCTCTGTTGAACAAGAGACAGGGTTTCCCTGTGTCGTTCAGGCTGACCTCGAACTTGTAGCCATCCTGCCTCGGCCTCCTGAGGGCTGGGATCACAGGCATGTGCCACCACTCCCAGCTCTCTGCCCCAGTCCTGTCACCACTTCCAGGACTCATTGAGCCCCTGACATGCTCCTTGCTCTGTCCCTATTGTTCTTTTAAGCCAGGCTTGTTGCACTATAAATTTAAAACAGGTTGGCCCTTTGGGGGTACAATTACACATTTTGACAAATGCACACAGTTGTTTAACCATCGAGAAATAAAACGGTTCCATCACCCCAAATAGTTCCTTCATGTCCCTCCCTGCCCCAGCCCCAGCTCCCACTACTCTGTCCCTGTGACTTCTAAACATCACATTAACACAGCCACTTCGTGTGCAGCCTTTCAGGTCTGCCACTCTGAGAAGTCTATGCTGGCCTTTCCATGCTTCCCCCTTGGCTGCTGGCTGCTGGTGCATTCATTGTGCCACTCTGTGCCGTCACCATGGGAAGGACATTTAGTGGCTTTGGTGGTTTTGTGATAGCCACTGTAAGCGTGTCTGGGTTTTATGTGGACCTGAATTCTCTCCCTTGAGTGAATAGCTAACTCCCTCTTCCTGGTCCCTGCTCTGCAGTGTTCTTGGCTGCTATGTTCTGACTTTGCCATTCACCCTCAGCTTGTTCTGGAGGACAGGATAAAATGCCTCCAGCAGTGAAGGACAGTCTGTGTCCCTTGGGACCCGTCTTCCCCACAGACACGTTTCCTGTTCTGACCCACCTGTTGTGGAGCTGTCTTTTGACCCAGGGGTGGGGCATGGGCCCTGGCTGTCTTGTTCCACCTCTGGCCCTGCTAAGCTGCAAACCTGCTTGCTGAGCATGGCCAGTGCCGTGTGAGGAGGGGCAGGGAGCGCACCGAGCCCACCCCTGATCCTATTAGCCATATTGAGGTTACTGGGAGTTTACTTGCCACGCCAGCAGCTCAGCCCTAGCCTCGAAGCATGACCCAAAGGCTACGAATTCCAGGACACCCAGCTGCTGTGTTGTGCATGAAAAGCCATGGCCTCCTCTGAGGACTGGGATTTTTTTTTTTAAATCCTGAGACCATGTCTCTACCTGCTAACCCCACCCAGAGATAGGCCAGGAGAATTTGGAATCCTGGCTGAGGGCTGCAGGTGTGGCTTGGGGGTAGAGCACTTGGCTAGCACACATGAGGCCCTGGGTTCTATCCCCAGCACAGCAAAAGAAACAGGAAATTAAGTGCAGCTCTGATTCAAACAAATAATTGATACTTGGATGACCTAATAGTCATCTGTCCTTTGTTTTTTGTTTGTACCGGGAATCGAACTCAGGACCTTGTGCTTGCCAGGCAGATGCAGTGCCACTGAGCTACACCCGCAGCCTTAGTCCTCTGTTCTTGCAGGTAGGAGATTTAAGCAATGGCAACACTCAGGCCACTTGACAAGTGCTTCCTCATAGGGTTGGTGTCCACACACTCGGGCTGGGATGACACGCACTTGTGGAATGGGCCAAGACATCACTTAAGATCAATGTTGATGCAATATAGTTTTTAATATCTTACACAGCTGTTGACAGCACAGTCACACATGTGGCCTAGAACAGCGCTTCCGTGGGTTCTCAGCACTCCTGAGACAGTGGGGAGCTCAGGGGCCCTCTCCAGAGATGGCCTGAGGTGTGGATGGTTCCTGGGTCTGGAGGACATCAGGTCTCAACTGCACTGGGCCCAAAGTCTGGCAGGGTGTTAGACATCTTTGATCTGGTCTTCCACTTAGGCAAATTGGAGCCCAGAACACGCCCTGGGCAGCACCAGATGTCTTACTGTACCTGTTGTGAAGCTTTTAGGTCAGCAGCGAACCCCAGCCCAGCACCAGTGCTCCTTGGAACATAGACGTGTACAGCACAGGGCCCCTCTGTCTCCTACCTCCCAGCTTCCGTCTCCAGCCAGGTGGGAGGGGGCTGTGTTGCGTGTTCGTCTAATTGCCAGATAGTACGGGGGCCCTGCCAACCTCCGGTCCCCAGGGAAGTGGTGCTCCTTCGCCTGAACCTTGCCTCTCCTTCCTAAAGGAAGTGGAACCTCATACAAGTGCAAGCTCGGAGAGAGAGGCTGTCTCAAGGAATCCTCTTTGAAGCCAGCTGTGGTGGCACATGTCTGTGATCCTAGGCTACTCAGGAGGCTGAGGTAGGTGGATCACAAGTTCAAGGCCAGCCTGGGCAATTTAACAAGACCCTTTCTCCAAAACGGTTGGAAATATAGCTCAGTGATAGACCACTTGCCTAGCATCATGTGTGAGGCCCTGGGTTCACTCCTCAGTACCACAAAAATACACACAACAACAATAACAACAACAATTGTATGATTCCAATACCACTTATATGAGCTTCATAGAGTTGCTAAAATATGATTTGCCGTCTTCTGCTTGAAAAAAATCTGATGCAGGTTGGGGATCTGGGGAAAAACGGAGAAGCTCCCAGAGGACCCCATGCCTGCCACTGTAGACTTTTGTCCATGGGGATGGTGACAGCCACTGATCCAGGTGTTGTTCCTGGACCCACCAGGAGGTGAGGCCTGGCCTCCACGGGGTGCACACCTATCTGGTCGCAGGCCATCGTCCACACCTGAGGGCGGCTGTGGTGGCTGGCTGGGACCCGCCATGAGCCCATGGTGCATGCCAGCCAAGTGCCCCAGAGCACAGCCCTTCCTCTGTGTGCTCAGTGAGAGAAATAATCCTGTCTTGAAATTGTGCTGAGCCATGACTGCAGCCTTCCTGTGGAGAGCTGTCAGTGTCCCCGCCTTGTGGCCTAAAGCGAACACAATGGCTGGCCTGTCCCCCTTGGCATTCACAAGACTGCTGGCTGTTAGACTTCTCAGACTCCTTTGCTTCTGCCTCAAGCACATTGTGGATGTTGCTAATGAAGCAATGTGGAGCTCACAGCAGCAAATGCTAGAAGGGAGCAGCCCTCAGGAGTGGCCGTAGCTTGAGGGTCCCAAGAGAAAGGTGCGTCCTGAGTGAGCCACACCTCATTCATTTGCGCTGGGAGTCGGTCACCCACAGACGTTTACCACATGCTTCAAGGGACCCTGAAACTTTACATCGCACCACCAAGAAGAGGTCCAGCGGCAGCCTTGAGGGAGTCAGACGTCCCGTTGAGTGAGGGGGGGCCGCATTGCCTGGGGTCCACTCCTCAGTGTTTGGGAGGGGACAGGTCCCCTCAGCCGGCCTCGGCGGCCTGGCCCACGCCTGCACCCTCGGCTTCCACCTGGTTGCCCTTGCCCAGCTTTTTCAGGCTCTCCAGGAAAGCCTTCCAGGTCTCAGGCACGCTCTTCTCCAGCAGCCAGCCTTCGCTCTCGAAGTGCGGGTCCTCGGGGTTGGACAGGCCCTCCAGCGCCGTGTGCAGGTAGCGCAGGCCGATGGTGATGGTCACCTGAGGGGCGGGACCAGGACAGAGAGAGGTGGGCAGGAGCTAGGTGCTGGGCTGGTAGGGGCCAGGGGCGCCCCCAGCCTGAGCCTCCTGGGAGAGTTCGGGTGTTCATGCTTAAGGCACCGTAATTATCCTGCCTGCTCAGCCTCCCTGGGCTCCTGTAGGTTCCCTCTACCCATCCTTTTCCCACTCGTTCTCTCCATATTCACCCTGTGGAGCTGCCCGCCAGCCCTCGCCCTCCCCTTCTCCCATCCCCCCGCCTGGGGCTCTAGTCCTGGGTCCCTTCTCCACAGTGCCCCCTCCCACCCCATCCCCAGCACGTTCCTTGGCACATTTCGCCTGTTTGGTAACTGTTGGATGGGATTTAAAAATCACCTCCTTTCCCAGGCCTAGTGGTGGACCCCTGTAACCCTAGCACTCTGAGAGGCTGAGGCAGGAGGATTGCAAGTTCAAGCCCAGCCTGAGCAATGTAGTAAGACCTCAAAATAAAGTTTTCTAAAAGGACTAGGAATATAGCTCAGTGTGAAGGCCCTGGGTTCAGTCCCCATTAGTGCTAAAAAAAAAAACAGTCCCCTCTTTCCTGCAGACAGTCTCAAGTGTGGTTTCTCTGTAGCTCTTTTTTTTGTTTTTTTTGTTTTTTGGGGTTTTTTTGGTACCAGGAATCAAACTTGGGACCTTGCACTTGTGAGGCAGGTGGCAGAACCACTGAGCTAAATCCCCGGCCCTTGTAGCTCTTATTTTGACTGGCCTGCTCAGGAAAGCATGCCAGTAATGGACAACTGGTTTTGTTCCCTAACACTCGCTGTGGCAGCCACTGGAGCCAAAATGCCACATGGTGAGGAAGCTGGGAGTGGCTCCTGAGGAGCAAGTCTGATGACATATTTTACAGTGGGAAAAGTCGCCTCCTCCAGGGAGCACTCATGGTGTGAGCGTACCCACACTGGCTCTCCCCTGCCTTCTGGAAGGAGACCCGTCATGTGATGACCTCCCTTCGGCTCACAAGTCTGGTGTCATCTGCCACCACGTGCCTATCACGGTCTGCCCACTACAGGCTTTGAGGAGAGGTCAGGGCCTTCCGACTCCCTGTCCCCAGCAAGCTGGCCCCTGTCTCCTGTGGTCACCAGTTCCAGTTAAGGCGGCGAGGTGGGAGGCAGCGGTGACTGCTCCCCTTCCTGTGCTGGGGTGAGTCCTGTTCTCCAGCCTCCTAACAGTGAGCTGCGGCCCTCCTTCTCCCACTCACTCCCCAGACTCCGCCTCAAGGAGCAACAACCAACAAATGGACATACTGTCTGCCTGGACACAGAGAAGCTTCTGGCACAATGGCCACCTCCCCTTCCACGTGGGCACAGCACACCCATGAATGTCCACAGCCCTGGGTCCCCCGAGCCACTTCGACTCCTGGTCACTCGCATACCCTGGTTCAGCACCCAGAACAGCGCTCGGCACGTGGTGGTGTAGACTTCCCTCTGTGATCCCTGAATGAATGCAGCACATTCCCGGCATTCCCGGCTTGCTGGGGTCAGGCTCTAGAGCTACAGGGGTTCGGCCTTAGGGAGGAGAAGGGGTGAACCCAAGGATGATTAGGGTTATCATGGGAGTTCCTAAACACCCGCTGTACACATGGCTGTCCTATCTGGTCCCTACACGGAGCTAGGTGCTGTCAGCCCCAGTAAGAACGAGGTCAATCTGCTCCCCAGGGTGTGGGCAGAGGCTCCAAAACCTGCCAGGTGACAGGAACCAAGCATGAAGCGGGTCTCCTACGTTGTGGGTCCCTCCCTATGGCACAGGAACAGACAGACACAGAGGCCAGGGCTGGGTGGGGAGGGAGGAAGGGAGAGGTGTCCTCTGGGTTGATGGAAATGTCTGGAACTAGAGAGAGGCAGCAGTCACATGATGCTGTGAATGTACTAGGTGCCACGGAAGTGTAGACTTTAAAATGGTGACTTTGTGTTCTGTGAATTTCACCTAAAGAAGTTATTTTTATAAGTGGAGACCCTGGAGTCTGAGTCTGGTGCTCTGTCCCTACTCCCCAGGCCTGGCTCCTCCCCACTGAACCCCAGGGGCTGCCTCTGCCCACCTCCAGCCAGCGGCCCTACCTCAAAGAGCCACACGATCATCGAGGCGACACCCATGGAGCTCATGAGGCTGCTGAAGTAGCCCAGCAGGGCGTCCCTGCAGCCGCCCAGCCACAGGTTGAGCTCCTCGGTCTGGTGATCATAGCTGTAGTGTGCAGAGTTGTTGGTGAGCTGGTACTGGATGCAGGGCCGAGGCGAGCTGGGGTTGCAGCAGCTGAAGGGCACACCATCCACCAGGTACCGCCCGTCCACGTTGCTCTTGATGCGGCTACAGGGAAAAAGACAGCCTGACATGGGCTTCCGGGGCTTCTTACCAGGCACCTGTTCCCACCACCCTGCCTCAGGAAACCTGCACCTCCATTCATTCATTCACTCACATGCTATGCACCCACCATGTGCAGCCCCCATGCTGTGAATGGCCCCTGGCCCTGCCTTCCTGGAGCTCATGTCCTAGAGGGCGGAGCAGATGGGAGCCCCGGAGGCAGGTAAACAGGAAATACAGAGCCACCTGCCCCTCTGTGCCTGGTAGGAAGCCAGGGTGACCGTGGACCAGGCTCTGCCTGGCACTCCTGTCAAGTCTACATGCTGGCTACATGGCTACATGGTGAGTTCAAGGCTAGCCTGAACTATATAATGAGACCCTGTCTCAAAAAAAAAAGAATATAAAAAAATTGTTTTTACCAGTGTTCCTGAAAACAGTAATTACACTCTTAAAAAGCTGTCCATGTTTAGCTTTTTTTTTTTTTTTTCGTTTTTTGAGAGAGGGTCTTGCTATGTAGTTCAAGGTTGGCCTTGAACTCACTGTAGCCCAGGCTGGCCTCAAACTCACAGTGATCCTCCTGCCTCAGCCTCCCAAGTGCCGGGATGACTGGCGTGTGCCACCACACCAGGCTCTATAATCTCTTTAATACAAAACAAGTCCCCCTCCTTGTCACTCAGGCCAGCTCGCCTGTCCTTCCGGGGAGACTCTGCAAATCCTCCATCCAGTGCAGTGCCGGGGTCATGTCTGATGTTGCTTATGAAGCGGCATGGTATTGACTGTGTGGTGGCCCAGGATTTCAGTAGGGTTATGTCCAGTTCCCTCTGCCCAGTGCTTGGGTCTCTCAAGCTCCCATTAAATACAAATGGAGGCGGTCCTGTGTGTGCTTGAATGCACCCCGGTGAGCTTCTAGAAGGGGCGTCCCCATGTCTAGAGGTGATCTGCCGGGTCCTGCCATATCTCTGCCCTGTCCAGTCACCCCCAGCCAGCCATGCTCAGGAGAGCCTGCCCCTCCCGGCCACACCTTCCTGGGTTCAACTTCTGATCTTTGCCAACTTGGAGTTGTTTTAATTTCCATTTTTCTCACTGTGGGCATCTTCTCCTGTTCAAGAGCCACTGTGGTTCCTTTTCTGAAAACCGCCCGTTGGTTTCGATCCTTGATGACTACGACTTCTGGAAGGCCGCCCGTGGTGGCCTGGGTTGTGATGACCGTGTCTCCCTGCACCCTGCATCCCGACCTCTGCTTTTCGGGCAGAGCCCACCGTCTAGGGAACAGGCGGCCCTGCTTGGCATGGGGGGTAGGGTGGGAGGAGAGCTGGGCATCAGCTGTGACTCCGGGCCCTCCTGCGGATCGGCTCCACCCTCTGGTCAAGCTCCTTCCGCTCTCCCTGCCTCAGCTTCCTCCCCTGTGACATGGGTCTGCATGAGGGTTTTGGGAAAGAATTCCTATGAGACTGCTACGCTGTGGGCGGGGAGGTAGTTCTCCAGGGGGCAGGCAGAGGAGAGAGGTTTGGCCTTCCCCAGCCACCAATGAACATCCTGGCTCAGTGCTGGTGGGGTCCCCAGGGATGGGGTGGGCAGGCCCGAGTGCAGGACAGGCTGGAGAGGAGTTGGTGGGGCTTCAGCTTGGGGCTGCCAGCAGCCTGCAGCCCTGGGCAGACTAGGATGCTCCTCTCGCCACCCCAAGACCTTCCTAGGGTGGGGAGTCTCCAAACTCTAATGCTGTCCTCTCCTCCTCCTCACTCGCTAGTGGCTGTCCCTTGAGTCCCCTAGAGCTATTCCCAGGGTCCTCATGGACAGGCATGGGTGTGGCAGAGCACAGGCCTTTAGTTCCAAATCTGTGAGCCATGGGGTGTGACTCTGTGGCCCCATGTGGGGCAACGGTGACCTTCTCTCCTCCCAGGGAACACCAGTGCACTCCCTGCACCCCCAGAAAGTGCCAGCTCCCTCCACTTGGAGCCACTTGGACACAACCTTGAGAGCCACCAGACTGTGCCCCAGAGGAGGAAGTGGGGCTCATCCAGAGCCACCCAGGAAGTGGAAGGTAGCCACAGGGCCCCCTTGCCTTGCCTTTCTTATTCAACTCCTGGAGGATAAGATTTGCCTCTAGTTTTCTGGCAGCCCTGACTCAGCCACTGTCACCCAGCTTTGCACACCCTCTGGCTGTCCTTGAGCTGGGGTGGAGGCTGCACGGTGGCCTCCCCAACAGACCTCAGCAGGCAGTCACCTTGCTGGTCCCCACAGAGTAGGGCTATGGCCCCTCAGACTAGGCTCCCCAAGGATCCAGACGAGCCTATGTCTCTTCCTTCTGTGTCTCACCTCAACACCTCCATTACTTTATCTCTAGTGACAAAGGGATCCTAAAAGAACAACCGAGAGCCAGAGGGCAGTGCAGTGGTGCCACCTGCCCAGCACGTGCATGACCCTGGGTTCCTCTCCAACCCTGGAAAAGAGAAGAGCACGAGGCACTTTCTCTGCTAGCACGGATGGGGCCGGCTCCCTGCTGTCCCCCTTCTCCCTCTGCCTGCCCACTCACTTCAGCAAGTCTGTCCTCACTGACAATGACCTGCTAAGTTGTGTCTGCTCCTCCAGAAAGACTCTACCTGCTGTTCTGCCGGGGTGCTGTGGGACTTGGCCCTGGGGACTGTCCTAGAACCTGGCCTTATCTTCATTGAGACCCCACCAGCCCCAGGGACCCCAAGCAGAGCAAAGCTGGCAGCCTGGGCAGTGCTGTGTGATACAAATAGCCAGCTAAGGCACTTCCTCTGCCCGGCTTTGTCTTAAGAGGTCAGCGAGCCTTAATCTTTGGCTAGAAGGGGGCCAGCCCTGAGCAGCTGGAGTAACCAAGGTGACCCAGGTAGGTCTGGGCTCTAGAGCGCCCACACTGGCACCAGCCGCGGGGAGGCTCCATGAGCGTGTCCTCCGGGGTTACAGCCACCTGTGATCAGGTCTTGTCCTGGGTCCTCCTCCCCCCAGAGAATGTGAGGTTCCCCTCGGCAATTTGGTGGGAAAGGAGAAAAGGAGAATTCCTTCTAGAAAGATCTTGGTGGGTGACCACCCTGCTCCCTCCCTGTGTGCTCCTGGCCTCATCTCTGGCCTTAGGATCCTGGCCCCAGGAGGCAGGGGGCTCACTGGTAGAGCAGGGAGGACCAGGCCCTGGGTTCCATGCCCGGTGCCACAAAACAAAATAAAACAAAACAAAAATGAATCCCAACTTCAGGCTGCTGTCTCGCAAATCCACAAGCTAAACGGTCACCACTTCTCAGCGCTTAAGATCTCCAAAGAGAAACACCTGTGTATTTTTCAGGGGAGAGTTTTTGGGAGCCAGCTTTGTTTCATAAACTTACTAATTCTCCTACGTGAAGCAGCCCAAATAGGAAGAGAGAAACACCTTGGAGCCCCCTGGGGCAGAGGTAAGCAACCCTCTAGTCTCTCTCTCTCCTTCCCAGCTGCCCAGCCCAGCCCCTGAGCTGGCCCCGGGGCAAACACAACTCCTCGGAGCTCTCTAGCCAGTCCCAGAAGCCTGGCTTCCTTTAGGGCATGGGCACTGCCTGTTGGGCATAAGTGTAAACATATGAGGGATCTGATGGTAAGGTGACCCCTGAGACGCCCCTATGGGGTGAGGTCACACTACAAGTTCTAAAGAAGGAGGGAGGTGATTCAGTTCCACAGTTGTGTCTGCAGACCGGCTTTGTGGAAAGTGAAAGCCAGCAGCTACATTTCTTTCCTGGAAATTTACCCCAAGGGAAATGAGAGACCTACTGAGCGCTTTGAGCAAAAGACTCAAAGATGCAGGTCCCAGTGTTGCTTGTAGGAGGTAAAAAAGGCACAACCTACAGGCCTGAGTGTGTACTGCTGCCTCTCGTCACAAGACACAACCATTAAACCATCACCTTGAACACTACGTAAATGCTTCCTGATCCTCATGCAATTGCATTTACACCATAGTTACCTGTGTTACTAGGCAAATATCAACAAGACTAGACTGAAATGTGGAAAAATTAAAGCCATCCATCAGTTGTAGGTGAGAATCTGGCTTGCATTTCTTTTCGTGCTTTTGTTCCTCTTACTATTGTCATCATTTTCTGAGGGTGTGTTAAAATACAGAAATCCTTCTACAAGTCCATGGAGTTAGGATAATTTCACACCAACAAGTTGTTATGGGCATTGAGATACCTTTTTTTCTTCCCCGGTACTGGGGATCGAACTCAGGACTTTGCACTTGGGAGGCAGGTGAGGCGCCACTGAACTAAATCTCCAGCCCTGAGGTAACTTTGATTAAGCTAAGTGTTTGCCTGAAAATTGGGATTCATTGGTCACTGGGAGTAGAGCGACATAGATAATTTTTCTCCTCTGGAACAAAAAGGGATTTGGAGTTACAGGACAATTTTTGTATCTCTCCAAAGACTGACAGTATGCAGAAGACTCAAGGGACATGACCGAGGCCCATTCCTCTGCTTGGGACGCTGGCTGTACCACAGCCCTCACCCCCAGGAGTTCTGCCTGTCCTCAGGCTTCATGTCCTCCTGGGTGGTGTGTGTAAATCATGCTACCTTGGATTGGCCCTGTGGCCCTGTGGATTGTCACCCAGGAGGGCCAGAGCTGCTTACAATCCTCTCGTGGGCTGGGGATTTGTAGTGGTAATCTCCATCTGCTGAGAAACGCAGTGCCCACTGTGACCTTCGCTCTGACTGCCCTTCTACCTAAGGAGCAGCTAAGCCTTCTGGGGCTCAGAAACACCTGGGTTTTGTGTGCTCTGCTGCTCACATAGCCCATGCACAGTATCTGCTGACTTGCCAGACTTTGGGGGAACTGCTGCACTGTAATGGCAGCCAGGGTGGTGCAGTGCTGGGGAGAAAGAAGGGTGAGGGTGAGCCCTGGCTTGGGACAGGCTCCCTGTCCCTACAGATCCCCAAGACCCAGGCTGCCATTGTCAGTGCTGAGATTCCTGCCCCCATTCCATGGGATTCCATTTGCATGTGTGGCAGGGACACCTTAGAAACCCTGTCTCGAGTTGCACTACCATCAAGTAGGGAGTAAACACCAGCAGCTCTATGAGCACCTGCCATATACCGGTCACTAGACAGGGCCAGGAGTGCACACCATGGTCATCCATCCCACCACCTTCACTTGAAAGACAAGTGAGCCGAGGCCAACAGGGACCAGTGACCTGCCAAGGTCAAAGCCATTGACCACAGCCAGCCTGCAGCCCAGAGCTGCCTGTCCCAGCCCCACGCTTCATGTCCATAAGAGCAACAGAATGGGCTGGACCCCACCTTTGCAGTGGACACTCAGAGTCAACAGGATGCAAAACCTGGGAGCTCAGCAGGAAATTTAAACTTCTGGAACTGAACCCACTTCCTGTGACTGAACGCAACAAGCACAAGATAAGGTCTCAGACCATGGGTGCTAGGAATGGCCCCATCGCTGCCATGCGCAGCTTCTGTAACCCCACACCTTCCTCCACCTCAGCTAAATGCCAGGTTGGGCCATGTGAACTTGCCACTTGCGGGGTCCTGGCGACTTCATGTGGTCCAAGCTAAGCGCCCTCCCAGATGCAGGAATCAGTCATGCACCTCACGGCGAGGAAAGGGCCCTGGGTGGGCTGGGGATCAGAGGCCTGGGCCTCCATGTGCCCAGACAGCTCTGAGCCAGGCCCAGAGGCCACTCACTCTTTGACTTCTTTGGAGGAAAAGTCCAGGTAGCGATTGCTGATCCACTGGATCTCGAACCAGTCCCGGAAGCCGCTGTTGCCACAGCACTGGAACTCGATCTGCAGCATGTCCATCGTCTTCTTCATGAAGCAGCGGCCCGGCGTGTCCGTGTCACGATAGTACTTCATGCCACTCCTGAGCCCGTGGGCCAGTGAGCTCTCCAGCGAGCCCTGCAGCAGGAAGCAGCAGAGGGCCACGAAGAAGAGGATAATGTTGAAGAGGACACAGATGGCCAGATAGGGCTTCAGCCAGGGCCTCCACTTGGCGAACTTGGCGGGATCCAGGGTGTCGTAGCAGATCTTACCAGCCAGGGAATTGAAGATGCAGGACACCACTCCCACCCCGATCAGGCAGTTGGGCACAAAGTGGCTCTCAGCATTGTTCATCACTTCACTCCTCTTCCGGAGCTCAATCTTCAGAAAGAGCCCCATGCTGAAGAGGATGATGCCAGCCAAAACAGAGAGCCAGTTCATGAGCCAGAGCCCCTGTGCCAACTTGACCCGCTTCTTCTGGTCAAACTTGACTTTGAGTAGCGCCATGCTTGCCCAGTGTGGTCCAGCAGCGTCACATACACACACAGCTCCCCTCCCGACCCAGGCGACTTGGGGGCTGAACACTCAGGGCCGCAGGAAGGGTGCAGACGGCCCACGCTGCCAGGGGGTGCTCTGGGGGGTGTCCATGTCAGGCCACCCACCCAGGATGCCAGGAACTCAGGAGCAGGAGCAGGAGCAGGTGTTGATTCTGTGCCTCTCTTCCCAGCCGAGCAGGGACAGCTGAGCACTGCAGATTAAAAGTGGGATCCGCAGGACATCTTGCTAATCTCTTTAGCCAGGTTCATCCCATTAGATAAAGCCATGCCAGGCGCACAAGGCGAGCAAGAGGAACCCCTGTGTACTGCTGGGCCAGGGAGCTCTGGGTTCAGCTTGGAGAATGGGAAGCAAAACGCTGCAGTTGGGCCAGAGGATGCCCAGCCTGGAGTGCCGGCCCAGGTCAGGTCTCCAACTTTCTGTGGGACAAAAATCATTGTAGTCCAAGCTGGAAAAGAAATAATAGATTGTGACAAGGCATTTGCAACACATAAAAAAAGAGAATATGCAAAGAAGGCTAAACTACCACAAATGCACAATAAAAAAAGCAACAGGGGCCAGGGATTTAGCTCAGTGGAACTGTGCCTGACTTGCAAGCAGAAGGTCCTGAGTTCGATCCCTGGTACCAAAAAAAAAAAGGCAACAGACTTTGAGTGCAGCTCTGTAGGAGAAGCCCTTGCTTAGCACAGGGGAGGCCCTGCATTCCACCCTATCATCAAAAAAAAAAAAAGCCTGGAGAGGTAGTACACACCTAGGAGGGTGAAGCAGGAGGATCATGAGTTCCAGGCCAGCCTGCAACTTGGTGAGATCACGCTCCCAAAAGAGAAAAAAAGAAGAAGGCTAGAGATGTAGCTCAGTGCAAAGGCCCTAGGTCCAAAGGTTCAATCCCCAGTGCCACAAAATAAATAAATAATAAAATCAACAATTAACTGGGAAAATAGACAAAAGTCAGAACAGGAACAAACAAACCAACAAACTGGACAGGAAATACAGAGTTCCCATGTATCCACCCTCCCACCAACCAGTTTCCACTTCAGGTAGCACCTTGCATTTCTGTGATGCATTTATGTCTACACTTCTGGGAGTTGTGTCAAGCACATGTCATGAACCCAATGTGATCGTGTCATACACTGCAGTTCACTGCTCTGACAACCCCCGGGTTCCTCTCCCTCCCCATCCTCAGGTGACCACTGACTCTATGGCTTTGCCTTTTCCAGAATGTTCCATAGTTAGATTCAGAGCCTTTTCGGGCTTTTTTTCCTCAGCAACATCTTTTTGTGACTTAGCATGACTCATTTCTAAGTGTCACAGAATAATGTTTCATTGTAGGGATGGGCCATGGTTTATCTGGTCACTACTACAGAATATCTTGGTTGCTTCCAGTTTGGGGCAATTATAAATCAAACTGCTACAAATATCTACGTGCAAGCTTTTGTGTGAAGGTAAGTTCTCACCTCATTTGGGTAAGCTGCAGGAAGGAAATGGCTGGATCATGCAGGAGCAGTGTGTGTAGCTTTGTGCAAAACTGCCCAGCTGCCTTCCCAGGGGCTCCCACGGCAGTGAGTGCCTGTGGCCACCCACCTTGCCAGCATCGGTCCTATCAGTGCCAGCCACTCTACCAGGTGTGCAGTGGTAGCTCGTGGCTATTTTAATTTAGAATTCTCTAGTGACATTTTAAATGGGGCATCATTTTATATGCTTATTTGCTACCTGTATATCTTCCCTGGTGAGGTATCTGTGCAGCTCCTGACCCTTTTTGTTGTTGATTTTACTTGTTTGTTTTGTTTTGTTTTTGGAGACAAGGTCTCACTATATAGTTCAGGCTGGCCTTGAACTCACTGTGTAGCCCAGGCTGGTCTTGAAGTTGCAGCGATCTTCCTGCCTCAGCCTCCCAGTGCTGGGATTACTGGCATGCACTACCCCCACACCGAGCTCTGTGCCTTTTTTTTTTTTTGGTACCGGGGATCAAACTCCAGTCCTTGCGCTTGTGCAGCAGGTGGCAAACCCACTGAGCTAAATCCCCGGCCCCCCCTTTTTTTGTTTTTTGAAACAAGATCTCACTACATATGTAGTTCAGTCTGGCCTTCAACTCACTATGTAGCCCAGGCTGACTGGAACTCAAAGTAATCCTCCTGCCTCTCCCTCCCAAGTGCTGGGATAATAGCCATGTGCCACCACGCCCAGCCTCCCTGCTCATTTTTTGATAGGAGGGTTTTTTTTTCAGTACTTGGGATTGAACTCAGAGCCTTTGCACTGAGCTTCATCCTCTGCGAAGGATGAAGGCGATTTCGATTTTTTATTTTAAGACAGAGTCTTGCTAAGTTTCTCAGGCTGGGCTCGAACTGGCAATCCTCCTGCCTCAGCCTCCCAGAGTGCTGAGATTACAAGTGTGCACCACTATGCCCAACTGGATTGTTTGTTTTCTTTAGCAAGTGCTCTGTGTATGTGTGTCTGTGTGTGGTGCTCCGGACTGAATCCAGGGATCCTACCCTGAGCTGTTTCCAGCCTTATTTATTTTATTTTTTATTTTTTGGATTTTTTTGAGCCAAGGTCTCACTCTGTAGTTCAGGCTGGCCTTGAACTCACTATGTAGCCCAGGATGATCTCAAACTTGTGATTCTCTTGCCTCAGCCTTTTGAATGCTGAGATTGCAGGCATGCAACACCATGCCCAGTTTCAGAATATAGATTTTTTTTTTTGGTACCAGGGATTGAACTTGGGACCTTGTGCTTGCAAGAGAGGCAGTGGAATCACTGAGCTAAATCCCCAGCCCCAGAACATAGATTTTTGTTTTGTTTTGGGTACCAGGAATCAAACTCAGGACGCTGCACTTGCAAGGCAGCCAGCAGAACCACTGAGCCAAACCCCCCGCCCCAGAACGTAGATTTTTACTTTATTTTATTTATTTATTTATTTATTTAAATTTTTTGGTACCGGGGATTGAACTCCGGTCCTTGCGCTTGAGGGCAGGCAGGGAAACCACTGAGCTAAATCCCCAGCCCTAGAACATAGATTTTAAAAGAGTAACTTATCTATCTCCGTTGAAATTTAATGCACACCTTCCCATTGATCCAGTGCTTCTGCTTCTCACAGCAGCCTGTGGATAAGCAGAAGGGAGTTTAAGAACAAGACAATCTAGGGGCGGGGATTTAGCTCAGTGGTTTCACCACCTGCTGCGCAAACGCAAGGACCAGAGTTCAATCCCCGGTACCAAAAAAAAAAAAAAAAAAAAGAACAAGATAATCTTGTCCTCAGATTCCTGGCCACCTAAAACCAAAGGTTTCCTAAGAAGCCCAAGTGCTCACGGTGGCAGTGGGTCAAGTCCCTGTTCTGAAGTCTCCTTTGTACCCTGGCTCTGCTAGATTCATCACCCACACACTGTGCTTTAAAATCCCCATTCCCTAGGTAAAAGCAGAGGCGCATTTTTCCAGGGACAGAGAAGGCCCCAAAACAAGGCCAAGGGATGAGCTCCCACCCTTCGATGCAAACGCAGTCCCCGCGGAAAGCAAAGCCCTTATTCTGTTGCCAGCGCATGTCGGACTCCAATTGGCATCTACAAAGCCGGGCTCTGGCCAAACGGGGAAGGAATCTTGTTATATAATTGTCAACCAATCTAGAATAACAGTCATACCCAGGGTTATGGGTCCACTAACAGCCAAGCCCCTCGGATGTCAAAGCATTTCAACCCTTCAACCCTTCCCCAGTGGAGACAATGGAAAGAATCTGCTGCAGGTTCTGGAGTCATTTCTCTCTGTTGTATTTCCAAGGGAGGACACCAGAGCTGGCTGGATTCCACCTCCTGCAGAGGCCCCTAAAGACAGCCTCCCCGAAGAATCGTGAGGCTGGCCCAGGGGATCTCCGAGGAGTATGTACGAGGACGAGAGAACACTAGAGGCAAGAAAGGGAGGAAATTAAAAAAAAAGGTTTACCTGAATAACGGGATTAGCCAAGCGCCTCTTTCTCCTATGACCCCAGGCTCTGTATGCTCCTGTGGGTGCCCTCTGGTGGCCAGGAAGAGAACAGCTTCGGTGAATGGAAAAGGGGGGACCTCGCTTCATTCCCTGAGGATGTCAAATGACCAAGAAAGGTCAAAGAGAAAGAGCAGACACAGCAGACATGTCCCTGGCCACAGTTTTCTATATGAATAAGGCCGGGTGAAGAACTCACAGACAGGAGAACTTCGGGGTAGGGCGAGGAATCTTTAGTGGACCCACCTCCTGGACCAATCCAAGTGAGTACGGATGTTATATGTCTATTTAAAAGTTAATTGGCTTGGGCTGGGGATTTAGCTCAGTGGTTTCACCACCTGCTGAGCAAGCACAAGAACCCGAGTTCGATCCCCGGTCCCCTCCCCCCCCCCAAAAAGATAATAGGCTCGGTGTGGTGGTCCGGAGCTATAATTCCAGCACTTGGGAGGCTGAGGCAGGAGGATCTCAGCAAATTCAAGGCCAGCCTGGGCTACATAGTGAGTTCAAGGGCCATCTGAATTACAAAGTGGGACCCTGTCTCAAAAAGGCAAAAAAAAAAAAAAAAAAAAAGATAATAGACTAGGTTATGGAATTAGGCTGATTGACTTTTCTGCCTTAGAAATTCCTTTTAATGCAGCTACGCATGGTGGTGCATGCCTGTAATCCCAGCTACACAGGAGACTGAGGTAGTAGAATCACAAGTTTAAGTCCAGCCAGGGAGACTAAGGTGATTTCAAGACCTTGTCTCAAAATCAAAGTAAAAAGGGCTAGGGAGGCCGGGGATTTAGCTCAGTGGTTCTGCTGCCTGCCTTGCAAGCGCAAGGACCCGAGTTCGATCCCCGGTACCAAAAAATAAATAAATAAATAAATAAAAGGGCTAGGGATATACCTCAGTGTTAGAGCACTTGCCTAGCATGCCCTGGATTCAGTCCCCAGCACTGAAAAAAATTTCATACATGCAGAAAAGTGAAAAGTCCACTTATAAATGTAAGCTTGATCAATCATAATTTAAAATTTGAGATTCATTAACATTAATACATACAGCTATAGTTCACTAATGTTTTTATCTGTAAATATAATGTTAATACAAAGAATATATATCTTTGTAATAATATATATGTAACATATAATAATATACATAATTTGATGTTATAAATCATAATAATAAACACTTATTCACCATCCAATTATATATCACAATTCACTTGCATCTACGATTCTTGTTACTGCATTCTCCTCTACTGTGCACTGAATTAGGTCTCCCCCACTCTGAAACTGCATGTTGCATCCCTAACCCCAGAGTGGGCTGTATTTGGAGAAAGGCTCAATAGGGAGGAAGTTAAGGTTAAATGAGACCATAAGGAGGGGCCCTGATCTGATAGATTGGTGCCCTTATGAGGAGAGGAAGGGACCAGAGCTCTCCTCAGGGCAGTGGAAAGGCGATCTGACATAATGACAACAGAGCCACCTGCAAGCTAGGAAGGGGCCTCACCAGAAACCAACCCTGCCAGCACCTCCACCTCGGACTTCCAGGCTGCAGAGCTAAGAAGAAATAAGTGAAAAATAAGCCCTGGCTGTGTACTACACCTTCATTTAAGTGGTAACCATTATTCTGGACACTGTAGCTTTTTCTTATTCATGTAAAATTATAGGGCGTTTCCCTACATATGTATTTTTGCTTGTTTTTGAGATTTACAAAAGTTGTATAACATTCTTTAAGAGATCTGCTTTTTTCCCCATTCACTCAGCAGGCTTTGAGAGCCCTGAATGCTGTTACACAGTTACAGCTCTTTGTCATGTATTGTTTATCCCACATAGGACAAGTCTTCAGATCGGTGGCTCTATGGCTGCCTTCTAGCATTGTGCTATTTATTCATTTATTTATTTCAGCACTAGGGATTGAAGCCTGGGCCTTTGCACTGAGCTACAGCTACAATACTTTTGGAGGGGTGGGGGATACTGGGGATCAAACTCAGGACCTTGTATTTGCCTGGCAGGCGTGACACCACTGAGCTAAATCCCAGGCCCTTTCAGCATTTTTTCTTTTTTCTTTTGAGACAGGATCTCACTAAGTTTCCCAGGCTGGTCTTGAACAGATTACCAATCTCTGTTCTAACTGGAAACTACATTTCATTTGCATTTCCTGAGATTACTAGTGTATTTGAATTTTTGTCTACCAACTTATTTCATGCTTTCTCTCTCTTTTTTGGTACCGGGGATCGAACTCAGGACCTTGTGTTTGTGAGCAGGTGGCAGAACCACTGAGCTAAATCTCCAGCCCTCGTGCTTTCTCTTTGTTCAGATTTTTCTATGCTTCTTTTCCTCTTTATTTTGACTTCTTTAGAGTTTGTGAGAGCAAAGTGCAACAGCTCAGGATTACAGTCAAGTGTTACAGCCAAGTGTTACAGCTATCTGAAGTTCTCCAGGGATGAAGAAACTGAGGCAGGACTTGGAAAGATGGAGGGAAACTTTATTGCGCCAGTGGGCTCAGAGGAGTTTGTACGCTAAAGTCTGAACCCTGAACAGAAATGGAAGCAGCCTTATGTAGAGATCTAAGGGATAGAGAGATGGTCCCACATACAGAGCGAGCATGCTCATAGAAGTGGAGGGGTGGAGTTAACAGAACATTCCTGAAATATCTGGTAGAAACATTGTGCAGCTCAAACAGTTACATTGCTTGAACAGAACATCGTATGACAAAAACATGGGAGGGGGATGGCAACAGACAAAGGTCTGCCCTGTTGTAAATTATTTCCTTATCACATTGAGACCATTCCTTTACCCCGTTCTGTCCAGAGAGTTGATTCACACAGTCTATACTGACAGCTGACAAACCCTAACCCTGGAATT